TTTAAAAATGTTTCATCAATATTTAAAAGTTTAATATAAAAATTTGTTAGGATAAAAACTAATGGCATCACAGTTAAATAACTAAAAAGATAGACATTTTATAAAATAAAAAAAATAAATAAAACTTTATATAAAGTTATAAAATTAAATGTATACTTTACCAATAAATAAATCAATCAGAAGTCTTTGGTGGATCAGGTAAGTGGGATGTGAGGTGTTGCTCACTGCATTTCCATCTCATCTACCATGTTGCAAAATTTTGAGCACACAGGATTCATAGCTTTTTATTTAAAGTTTTTACCCCCAAGAAAAGGTATTTAAGGATTAAGAGATATTTATCTTTCCCCCTCTTCAACGTATCAAAATTACATTTATTTATTTTTTCCAATTGAAAGGCTCACATTAATTTGAATTGAGCAAGACAGGGTCATAACAAAAGCGACAAAACTTTTTCACCAAGTATTTAATGATATTCCGTTTTTAGAACTTGAACTTAAAACATCTAATAAAAAAGGAACAATCTTTTATCAATTGAATCAAACGTTAATTAGTGATCCAATTTTAAAAAATCAATAGATAATTTATACAGTTTATAAAACCAGAGTCAACGCTTTTGTTTTTTAAAGTAAACAATATGTATTTTGTTATTCTAAATCTGGAGATACGAATTTTGATGTCTTTGCAAATAATGTAATACAAAATTATTGCAGATCATCATTGGTGAAATCTGTGTTTGCTGTGATACGTTGGAAAACTAAAGATTGATCGTTTAATAATGCTCTATTTTGAGTCTAATAAACATAACTGGATTTTCCTATTAGATATTTTAAAATCAAATTAATATATGTTTCAAGTGAGAAAAAGCATGGGAATTGATAATTAAAAATTAAAATACGCCTGATTTGGTATGAGGCCACTACGACAAAACATTGGTATTGTCATAACATATATAACATGTAATTCCTCACAACTTATAATAATGCAACTTGATTTGATATAGATTCCTTGTTATATGTTATTATTAATTTTTAAAGAAATTAAAAAAAGGCAATTGGACTAAAATTTCTTTCCAATTGGACTGGCAACTCTAAATGAAAATTGGGCTTGGGCTTATCATCATTCGTAGTAGTTAAATGATAGTTAAATAATGGGCTGCGGAGCCCATATATCAATGAAATGTGCTTCACATTCCTTAATTGATAAGATAGCTTGAATTTTACAACAAAAAACGACAGTTTGAACTTTGAATTGATCATCATCATCATCAAATGCTTGAATCGATTCTTGACAAGTACTTCCTCTGCCTTGTTTTATAACAAATTTTTAGTGTTTTGATGTTATGTAACACTAGTATAAGATATTTCGGGAAAAATATTGACTCATTAATGAAAAATTATTCTTTTGACCAAAAAAAATTAATGAAGTTTATTCTAAAATTGCTCCTTGTTATTTTTGAAGATTGATAGTTAAGTTTCAAAATATCGAATTAATAACAGTTAGGTCCCTAATAATTTTCTTAAAAAAATGAGTTATAAATATTAATTCAAACGGTTATAAATAGAAATCTCTATTACAATTAAAGAATTACATTTTATACTTAAATACTTATTTTCAATTGAAACTCTTAAATTTTCAATTATTTAGATCAATTTTTTTAATTGATTTTTTAAATTTTTTAATCAAGGACCTAACTGTTATTAATTTAATATTCTAAAATTTAATTGTCATTCCCCCTATTATTTTACTGCTGAAAAATATATATCTCTCTCTAAATGAAAGATATTTTATATTTTTTAATAAATTAAAATTTTAAATTGTATTTAATTGACATCACCAACTAAAATTTTCAATCATACCCTTAAATGAAATAAATATAATATTCAACTTATTCAAAATAACTTTATCAATTACTTGAGTCGAATGTAATCAAGTAATGGTATAGCTTGAAATATATATATATGTATGTATGTATGTATGTATGTATGTATGTATAAAACTTATTTAATATCCTACATTTTAGACTAAACATAATTTTTAAAAAAACACCCTATATTATGTTATGTAGATAAGATACTTAAATTTAGAAAATATGCTCTATTCTTGCATATATGTTCTAAATAAAAAAGCTTGAAAAGAACTCATGTCCATGTGAATAACAAGGGCACTCATGCCTTAAGTAAATAGTTGAGAGTTGGATTTCAAATCTTATATATATAAAGTATGATATAGTAAGAAGGGTTTATCTTTTGGAGAATTGCATCTAAGGTTTTCAGAATATAAAAAAAAAACCACACACACACCTAAGACTCAATATGTTTTGAATTTTGTTTTTTGTAAGCCCAAAAGCCCTAAATGCAAATATGTTTTTTTTTTGTGAAAAGACTCATTTATTTCAAATGTATAATTTTTCATGGCATGTTTACAACACAATACTTACAAAGAACATGACAATGTCCATATGTAAGCAACATATGTCCATTTATTATATAAAGTCTGTGTGGTTAAGTTGAACAATAATGTATGAGCTTTTCAAGTATATGTACAACAAAGTTTCCATAAAATACATGATAAGATTCATATATAAATAACACAATGTTTATTTATTATGCATAATCCATGTGATTAAGTTGAATAATAATGTACAAGTTTTTTAAATGTATGTGCAATAAAATGTTCATAAAAACATGACAAGGTTTATACATGAATAATAAAATATACATTTATTATATATCATCTATGTGGTTAAGGACAAATATATTTTTTACGGGGAAACAAATCTGCATTTGGACTTGCAGAAACAATTCACAATATATTGGGTCTTAGGTGTGGTTTTTCCATCCGAGAGTCCTAGGTGCAATTTTATCCTTTTTCTATGTGAGAAATTTGTGTTTTGCCACTAACGGTAAGGGAGAATGCCTATTAAAAGAAGGCATGAAGATGTTGATTTTATCTACGTCAAACTCAAATTTCTTTTCAACACTGGTCAAAAGAATCTCAAATATATAAAAGAAATTGTTAAATATGGGACAAAATAAAATACCCACGTATCAGAGTCACTTTCATTTTCTGTAAAATAGAGAAAAAAAAATCCAATGAAAATTAGGGTACTTGCAAATCTTACTATGCTAAAACAATTCCACACCGCCTTAGATATCATTGTGAGGTGACAACATAATTTATATGACATTTTTCAAGAACCCAATATTTATTTATTTATTTATTTTAACCAATTACTTTGCTAGTGGATTTGCACTTGCATGAATCACTCTTGTATGGCCTCTTGGGTCAAGTCATGACAGAACTTGAATGAATGACTAAATTTTTAGCTATCAGCTGGTCTAATTATACTGAGAGAGAAAAAATATGATCACTTTTCATTAATCAGATTTAATTAATATCTCAATTTGCTTCCTGTCTACTCTATTTTTATAAACCCCACAATGAGTTTGTGACGCACTGCCCAAGTCATTCAATGTAAGCAACCATGTTTGAGTTTGACACAGTACTTTGATCCCCTAAATCTCAATCATCTCATAGTTGTGGGATGTGGACAAGTTCTTTTTGTGATTCCTAAGGCCACATCCATCTTCTCCTCTTGCTTCTTTTCCCTGCTTTTGGATTATTGAGATCCCATCAAAGGAATCATAATTGATGACAACCCAACTTTGCTTAAGTGACTTTTGATTCATATAACCCCTCTCTCTCTCTCTTAACAATGATAATATTCCTTTCTTCACGCTTCAAACAAGGCATGCCATTGCTCAGTACATAATCAGTATATGCTTTTCTGTGGAACAACCTTTTCTTTCTTTCTGTTACTGATGGACCCACCTAGTCCAACCATATAACAACACACACAAACACACATGTTGCCGTATTTAGATCATATCATGTTCTGGTGTATGACTTCTACTCAGTTCTGATCAGTAGTGGGAAATTGTGCAGCAGCAGTAGCGGCTAAGCTGGAAAATTCACGGTGGGGTTGTGGTGGTGAGTGATGGCCAATGATCAAATTTATTTGATTCTAGTGATCAAACTCTGGAGAACCATACCAAAACCCAAGAAATCTTAAGTGTGATTTATCTGAATTACATTTAAGATTTCTTGTTGGCCATTATTAGCCACCCTTTTCCTTTTCTTCTCTGCTTTCATTTTCTAGGGGTGGAAAATTTCTTCTCTTCTGCTGGAATACACATCACACCATCAAAGCAAAAAAAAAAAAAAGATTCCCTTTGGAATAATTCCTTTAGGGGATCTTTGTTCTGCATTAGCCCTTTCAGCTGCTTTCATTGTACACACAGCATAGAGAGAGGAGATAAAAGAGATCTCACAACACATTTACAGTTGTCATTAAAAAAACAAATCTTTCTTTTTACAGTAAAATCTTTTGTATCATACGTGACATGCATACTTGGTAAGCGATCACTCTTCGATGAGATTGTAGGGTGAGATCCTTAATGTTTGGATTATCTTAGAAATCATGACGTGTTTGTTGGTCAGTTTTCCATGTCTTGAACAAAACAAGAAACGCATTATTATGGATATTTTGATTAGAGGTTTTGTATTTTATGAGACTGCTGATCGGTTCTTTTTAATAATAGCATGCTTTCTTTATAGAAAAAAAAATGATATCAGGAGGCTCTGGGTCCGAAAATCCAATCCTAGATTCTTTGATTCCTCTATCTCAACGTGGAACAAGAAGAATCTGCCAACCGCATCACACAAATAAAACCTTCTGGTAAACAAAAATCAAAGTGAAAGAGAGGAGGAAGAATAAAAATTCCACAGCAGCATAACCATCATCAAGTTACAATTTTTTCTTTCCTGGAAAGCTTCTCATAGAATTAAGAAAGTTGCGTCGGTTATTCATCATGGTGGGCCTACCAGTTTCAGAAGGGAATCAAAGAGAAAACACCAAGATAAAAACAAACCACATACTTTTTCTTTTTTATTTTTCTCTTCTTTTAAGACTCAAAATTGAACTGCGCTATCTTTCTTTGTTTTTGTTGCATCAGAGAGATTCTAATTCTATCCCTCTTCTTTCAAGTCAAAGAATAAAGAGTAGGGAGGGAGAAAAATTTAAAAAAAGAGAAAGTTTTATATAAATGGGATAAGAGAGAGAAGAATAGCCATAATAGATAATGGCATATATTCCCCCAACAAAACCCCACTTATGTTTCCTGATATGGAGGGAAGAGAGAGAGAGAGAGTAGGACATTCCAACATCTCAAGTCTATAAAGAGGAGAATAGCCACCATAAACTGACTCATGCCTAAAAGGATCAGAAAATAAAAGCAAATGGATCTGCAAAACTTGCAAAATCAAAGTATGCATTTGGTTCTTTCCGCTGATGCAAAGCCAAGGCTGAAATGGACTCCTGAGCTTCACCAACGATTTCTTGATGCCGTTAATCAGCTTGGGGGTGCTGATAGTGAGTATAGTGTGTATATATATTCAAGCTTAACCACCTCTTCAGTATTGTTTTTCCCCCTTTTGAAACTAAACTTTAGAATTCAACACTACGTGAGCAGAGGCAACCCCTAAGAGTCTTTTGAGAGTGATGGCTATTCCAGGACTTACTTTGTACCACCTGAAGAGCCACTTACAGGCATTCCCCTATTTGTGCAATGATTGTATTGTATCATTATTTGCTTTTTTTGATGCATCTACAAATCAGGAGCTAAATCTTTTTTGTTTTCTGCTTCTGGTTACAGAAATTCAGACTTGCAAAAGACCAGCAACTAGAAACCTGCTGTGACAGAAAACAAGAAGGTTATCTATTGCAATAGTTCTAGTTTAAAAGTAGTCACAACATGATTGATGATTCTCTCAAATGGTATAGAGCGCCTATTCTCTAATGCTCTATTTGTTGCAGAATACAGAGAAATCCAGAGCAGTGTTAGCCATTGCAAAAGGGAAATCTGCGTTGGGACTCAGAATCAGATGACTGAGTAATGGCCAGAAACTGATCGTATTTGACCGTTCTTTCTTATCTTTTTTTATGAATTGGATGAAACTGATATTGCCTATGGCATATCGTTGATCAAAAGCTTGCAGATAGCACAGGCTCTCCAAATGCAAATGGAAGTACAGGGGAAACTTTATGAACAACTTGAGGTAGCAGCACATATGATCTAAACTTGCATCTATTTGAACTCTTGCTGAAGCAAATGGACATGTCAATAATCAATAAAGATTGAAACTTTCAGGTGCAGAGGCATTTGCAGCTTCGAATTGAAGCTCAAGGGAAGTATTTACAGTCAGTGCTCAAGAAAGCGCAGGAAACACTTACAGCATACAGCTCTTCTTCCACTTCTGATACAAAACTTGCAAAAGCTGAGCTTTCTCGGTTATTGTCCATGATCAACAATGCTTGTCCAAGTTCTCCGATCTCAGAACTAACAGAGACAAAAGTGTTGAGTTCTAAGGAGGGGAAGAGGAAACAAAGTAGAGGGATTATGTGTTCAATGGAAAGTTCTTTGACATCTTCTGAGAGCTCTGGCTTAAAGGAAGAAAAGCAACGCAGGGATGAAAGAGGAGACCCTCAAAAATCTAATTCTACCACTTCAGTTGAACTTCAATTAATGGCCATTCGTTCAGTGGATGAAGCATCAAATGGCGATGCAAGTGATGAATCTAGTGGGAGAAGGAGAAGTGGAGGAACCAGTTATGATGGCGAAACGTGTGCTAAAAAGCAGAGAAAAATTGAGCTGTCAGAAATGCCCGACTTGAACAGGCAATACCAGAATGATGTTGATTCAAATTCCAAGGCTATTGATTTGAATCACTGATAAATGATCAGTCCTGGCTTTCAGGAACCATGAAACCAGATGAGTTCCTTTCCTTATAAAACATATGCCAAAAAGAAAAAAGAAGCCATTTTAGAAGAAATAGTGCTTATAAACCATGTATTTTATATGATGAAAGGGGGAAAAAATTGAATCCCGTATAGCGTCATGATAGGCATAGCGCATGTACTGGCTAGTTTCCTCTATGCTACTGGGCAGAGATTTGTTATGGGCTTAGTTTATATATTACAAATGCTTATAATAAAACTTGTGAACATCAAGAAAAACCAATAGCAAAATCATGGCACTCCAAAACACGTGAAGCTGTGAAACTCCACCAAATCGGGTCATAGATCAACTGAGAAACCGTGAGTTTATATATAGTTCAGATTGAGAAATAATCATCGCGTTCCTCTCATCACAAACCAATAAGCTTCTAGGTTATGATACTACATGTGATTGCTGTTCCACGCAAATTTGGAGCTCCTCTTCCCTCAGACACTTAAAAGATAATACTCAAATGATTGTTTCCTTTAGCAGCACAATCTTCTTTAGTGTATAAGCTTGAACAAAGGTTCTGATTGATTTTATTTGGGCAAACTCTAGTTACCAGATTCATTAGAATAACATCGATCTAACCCTAGCACTCAATATACAGCAGAAAATATCATGAGTTTATTTATATCCACAAAATTTGATCAACACAACTTTGTAAATGTACCTGTACAGATTCTATCTACAAATGAAAACCTACCCCGAAAAAAAAAAAAAACTTTTTTGCTAATTCTCTACCTCAGAATCACCTCTTGGACTTGATGAAGGATCACTGGAATTATCAGAAGGAGCTTGGTTCGTATTCTCACTTCTAAAAGAAAAGCTCACCCAAACTTCTCTGCCAACCCTCCTTCTCTCTCCTCCTCGTTCTTCTTCATCTATCTTGCCCACTTCTTTCTCACCCACAGGCATCTGGTATCTACAAACAGGGCAAGATCCATGAATTCGCAACCACTTCTCTATACAATTTTGATGAAACTTGTGCTGACAAGGCATCTCTTTCGCTACCCCACCAACCTCCCATTCCTCCAAACAGATCACACACTCGCCGTCTTCGTCTTGTCCGATTTCCACGCTCGTCATCGCGTCTATAGACTCCTTCGACGCCGGCGGTTGCCCGTTTTTCACATCCAGTTCGTGGAACAGAGTCTCGAGGCTCGAAGTACCGTCAATCACCACCATGCCTTGCGTAAAGGGGTTGATCAAGACGACTCTTTCACCATGGGTATTACTATTTTCTGAATTTGTGGTTTCTTGATCCAGGTCTTGACTGTCTCGTCCGGGATAATCGGTGGAGAAGCCTAAGATGAAGGGTAAGAACACAGAAAGGTCTCTGAATGTGAACAAGCTTTCAAAGAGGGACGAATTCTCAGAGACATCAGATTCAGAAGCCATTGATTGAGTTGGGAGTGAAAATAGTCTTCTTCCACAGGAAAAAGTAGGGGAGAGAGAAAGAGAGCACTGAACAGTAGATTATGAATTGCACAGTGACGAAGAAACAAGGGAGGATGCTAGGGAAGAAGGAAGAAGGAATTAAGGGAAATACAGAGAGGGTGATCGCCCTCTGAAGCTGGCGGAAGGACCTGGTAGCTGAACACGGAGGCGCATGTGTCGGAACTGTTATGACATAATTTTCTTATGTCTATCTTCTATCCAGTTTCAAGTTTCTTCTAAATGCTTCCAATTATCATCCGAGGGAAAGTTGATTAAAGAAATAACTATACATCAAACCCCATCTAAATTTCTAATCTAACATTTTTTAAAATAAATCAATCATTTAATCTTTAAAATTTTAATTTAATTATAACTTAATTTTTAAATTTTAACTCAATTTTTATAATTCATGATTCAATCTCTCAACTTTAATTTTTATAATTTAATAATTTTAATTATTTAAATATTAATTTTAATATTTTAAAAAATAAAATTATAAATATTAAAATTATTTTAAAGTTTTAATTTTTATGAAAATTAAAAAAATTTAATAATTTAAAATATTAATATTAAATTTTAACATAATTTTACTTTTAAAATATAAAAATAAATATTTAAATAATTAAAATTATAAGAATTAAATTATAAAAGTTAAAATTGGAAATTGAGTTGTAATCAAATTAAAATTATAAAAATTAAATTATAATAAAATAAAATTTAAAAATTAAATTATAATCAAATCAAACTTAACGACCACATTATTAACTTTTCTCATTTTTTTATGACCCTCACAAACAAGTGGACATTTGATGTGCGGTTTATTGCGTCCGCACTCGGATGAGCACTTCATGCTCATCAGACGTGGCTCCATCTGGGACTTTCATTTTATTTTAAAATGATATTTATTATTCACTTAAATTAATTTTTAAGTATTTTTAAATATTGTGATTATAAATATAAAAATTATAAAAGATTTAATATCAAATATATACTATCCATGTATCTAAATAGTTAATTTATAAAATTTTTAATGTTAAATTTAATTATTTAAATTATATTTAAATTGTCCAATATGCATTTGAATAGTTAAATTATAAAATTATAAAAAATTTTAATTTTAAATTTAATTATTTAGATTAAATTTGTATATGACTAATTAGTAATGACTAAATTCATTAAAATTTTGTATATTTTTATATTTTTTTATTTTAATAAATGTAAAATAAAAAAATTAAATTTGGATGATCCAATCTCGCCATGTAATGAGTAACATAGTATTTATTTCATCCATATTTAATATTAATTTTTTTTATAATTTTTATATTAATAAACACAATATTTAAAAATTAATTTTTTAGGCAAAAAAATTAATTAAATGAATAGCAAAAATTATTTCAAAATAAAATGAAATGCGTTCGCGTGGTTTATTCAGCTATTGAAAATTCTAAAACATATTAAAATCACTAAACAAAAAGGAAAGCAAATAACACGTGGCTGATATTTTTATCTTCTCAAGAAGAAGAGCGATCCATGGTCCTTTCTTTCTTTCTTTTTTTCTTTCTTTTTTTTCCTTTCACCGTAGCGATCCATTGATGGCTGATTGACACATTTGGAATAACTTTTTTTTTTTTTCAAAAAACATAAAATCAATGGAGAAATTTTCCTCTTTTTGCATTTTAGACATGTATTTGCAAAAGGTTGATTGGTTATGAAAGGAATTATTTACAGGGAACGTCTTCAATATCAGTGAATCAATAAATATATAGAATTCAAATCATATTTGACATTTTATTAATTTCTTCATTTAAAAAACATGACACTTTTACCTGTTTTGTAAATATTAAAAAAATAGTTAAAATTAATTCATATAATCGATATAGTAAAAACTTATCATTACTTGTCAAGATTATTTTCTAATTAAAATCAATCTTTCTTGAATAAGTTTAATTAATTTATTTCTTAAATAATATCTCTTTACAATATAATTAATAAAGAATACTCCCTCCATTAGAAAATGTAAGGCATTTTAATTAAATCTCACCCCCTCATAAAATAGTTACTTACTTTTAAACTAATTTTATCTTTTCATATTTATCTCACTAGATACTTTATAATAAATATAAAGTCATTATCAATAAGGGTACTTTTGAAAAAAAAATGCAATGATTACACCTCGAAAGTCTAAAAATGCCTTACATTTTTTAACATCCAACTCCTCAAAAAATGCCTTATATTTTTTAGCAGAGAGAATATCTATTAACAGGGTTAGATTTAGCAAAAGGAGCTAGTCTCTTATAATATAATAAACTAAGATTTGAATTTCTTTTAAAACAGGTGCTTATACTTAATATACAATCATGTCTTAAACATGATTACTTCTAATTAAAAAAAAATGTGAGTCTTTATAAGAATAAAGGACATTGGTCAGATTACAGGAGTCTTTATAAGAAGTGTTCCTGTAGATTGGTCATGGGAGTGCCTAGATACATGGTGCTTTTGAAATAATTTTGCAGGTTTAAAAGAAGCGTCCAGAGGCATTATGCATGTGAGAATTATCTTCAAGAGGAAAGCCTAGCCTGGGAAAATATCTGGGTTCATATGTTGATGGAGTTGTTAATTAGTAAGAGTGTTACTTACCAAGAAATCTTGGACAAAATTGTTAGGAAACTTCAATGTTAGAGAGCTTCTTCACTCTCTCAATTTGCAAGGATGGTGTTGATTAAATCGGTTATTTCTTCGTCACCTGTTCTCCCTTTATCCTTCTATAAATTGCCAAAATATATTTGTCATAAGCTTGACGTGAAAACGGTTGATTTTTTCTAAGGTTATCAAGGTGATTCAAAGAAAATGCATTTTTTGAATTGGGATGAATTATGCAAACTTAACGATCAAAGTGGTTAGGGGTTTAGAAAGACTCAGTTTTTTAATCAAGCACTACTTGCAAAGTCTGTTTGGAGATTAATTCAATCGGATGATTATTCTCTCTTATCTTTAATTTTGAAACCCAAGTATCTTTATAACCTTGAAGAGCGGATTAATAATAGATCTTTAGAATCCTTCTATCTGAAGGAAATTAAAGAAGCTGCTGATAATGTTGTTAAAAATCTCTGATGGAAAGTAGGAGATGGTTCAAAAATAAACATGTTTGGCCATTTTTTGGTGGCCAATTGAATGCTGATAGCCTTTTATTGCATAATCAAAACAAGTGGAACAGGGATTTAATTCTGCATTTCTATGATAAGGAGATTGCAGAAAAGATTTTCTTGACTCCTTTCTCCATTACAGGGGTTAGTGATACTCTTATTTGGAAAGGTAATTTTGAGGGTCTTTTTCAAAGTTAGTAATGCCTATAAACTCATGATCAACCCCCATCTTCATATAAACTCTAGTGACAAATTCAGGAAATATATCTGGAGAGTCCCTTTGAGGGATGCAATGCCTGTTTCTCAAACTCTTATCCATCATCACCTTCAAATTGATCATGTCTGTTTTCTTTATGGAAATAACACAGTAACAAGAGAACATGTTTTTCAGGACTGTGTCATTGCAAGAGCAGTCTGGTTTGTTTCTCCTTCAAACCTCAGATTGACACATGAACTGGTGATTTCAATGGTTGGTTGAAGGATGTGTTTATGTTCTTAGATACAAATGGGAACATTTATTTTTTTTCTATCCTTTATACAATTTGGAGAAGTAGAAGCTGCTTGGTTCATTAAGGTTTGAATGTTTCTTCCCAGGCTATTTTAAGAGATCTTGACTTTTCGCCATCAGGCTTCTATAATCGAAGATAACACTGATTAAAAGTTAGGCCTATCAGACTTGATTTTCTTGGTAATCTGAGGAGTTAGTGATTGGCAAATTATCTTTTATATAATTTCCAAGGCAAGAGGTTGTAATAGAATTATCATACACCCTTGTATATTGTTTCAAAACAATTTCATTTGATTGATTTTTAGGCTACCTATCGTTTATCTCAATGACAACTACTTGCCTCAATCGTGGAAATTAGGGGACTCCTTTATTTTATCAGCAATATTGGCCCTTGTGAGCATGTGAAGAATTATAGCCTAAAGATCTCCGCCAACAAAAGTTTAATCCAAGCTCTGATGAATTTTTCTCCACTTGTTGGTTCTTGTGCTCTTCTTAGTTTGTTTAGGTCTGTAAGTTTTCAAGCATGTGTAATTTTGCTGTTTTTTGTTTGTGTTTTCTCTCCTTTCGTTTGCTTTTAGTTTTGTATTTGTGGCATGTTTGTATTTTGGTTGTTGTTTCGCCTATTACAAAAAAACACAGAGGAAAGCCCAGCCCGGGTCCAGGTTTGTTTCTTGTAATGGAACATCATGTTCTTGCAACACAGATAATAAAATAAAATGTGTTAGGTGGATGTATGTCCAAACCCAATTAATTCTTGTACTTCATATTAATTGGGTTTTTAATATTTTCGTCACATATCAAAATACAAAATAAAATGGTAAGGATTCTTTGTACATGAGGCCTTAAACCCAACGGGGATTTGGGCAAAAACAAAAAAACAAAAAGAAAACCAAACTGTCATGCTGGCCTTCTTAGCGTGGAAGAGTTAGTTAATGACCGTTGGGAAAAGAAATGGTTCAAACTTCAAACTTTGGTGTAAGTTGTTCAGCCCAATCCCTTTCTCTTTAAAACCGATCCTCCTTTATCCAATCCTCTCAATATCAAACCAGAGGGTCTCATGCAACGATGGATGACAAACCCCATCAAGAACAAGATCATGCGGGCATCAGAATCTACACCACCACCCTCCACGAAACGACGTCTTGGCCGACAGGAAAGGAAGCAAGAGACAAGCAATGGCCAAGGGCATGCAGAAGACCATATCCAAAACCTCAATGCTCGTCAACTTCCTCCCTACCGGCACCCTCCTCACCTTCGAGATGCTCCTCCCCTCCGTCTCCCGCAACGGCGACTGCTCCGCTCCGGTCACCACCCTCATGATCCTCGTACTCCTCGGACTCTGTTGTCTCTCCTGCTTCTTCTTCCACTTCACAGACAGTTTCAGGGGCTCTGACGGCAAGGTCTACTACGGGCTCGTGACCCCGAGAGGGCTGGCCGTGTTCAGGCATGGTTTGGGAGAAGAGGTTCCGAAAGACGAGAGATTCAAACTTGGGTTCACCGACTTTGTACATGCGATCATGTCCGTGATGGTTTTCTTGGCGATTGCGATGTCGGATCACAGGGTGTCGGATTGTGTGTTTCCTGGGCACGTTAAGGACATGGAACAGGTTATGGAGAGTTTTCCTCTCATGGTTGGAATTGTCTGCAGTACTTTGTTCTTGGTGTTTCCCACTACTAGGTATGGTGTTGGCTGCATGACATCTTGATAGTTTTTGTTCATTGTTGACATCTCATTTCTCAATGACGTAAGAAGTGTTTGTGTAAGAGATCTATTTTTTTCCCGTTTTATTTTAGTATAAAAAATGTTTGTTAAATTTGCAGTTATATGGCCTCAAAAAACTGTCGTTGCAGTTTTAAATAGATTAGATTAGATGTTTTATGTTTAACACTTGCCATATCTTTTATTTTGTTGATGTCAATAAAAATTGATTAATCTTTGCCGTCATAGCAAGCTAAGAACAAAATCATAATATCATAATTCAATACCGTATGAGGAATGAATTTATATTTTCATACGATGCAAAAAATTAATTTTTATAAAATAAGCATTTTGTTTTTTTCCAGTAAATTGCAATATGTATTTATCTAGAGATGTTAAAGCAATTAAAGCAGTATAATTTTGATAGCATGTTTTAAATTAAAAAAAAAATACTACCTCTGCTAAAAATGCAAGCAAGGCATTTTTAATTGAATCTCATTCTCAAATAAAGTAGTTATTTATTTTTAAATTAACCTATCTTTCATATTTACCCCTATTTAATAAAGTATTTCATCCTAAAAATATAAAGTAATCTATTCAATAGGAATATTTTTTTAAAAAAAGGTAATGATTACATCTTAAAAGGTTTAAAAATGCTTTACATTTTTTAACATTCAACTCTTCAAAAGATGCCTTACATTTTTAAATGAAGGGAGTATATATATATATATATATATTTTTTTTTGAATGCACGAAGAACATATTCCACTAACAGCAGAATCTAACATCCCTGGAGTATTGACGGAAAAAAAAGGGCATACTTTTCCAATTAAATTACAATATAAATAAAAATTGAGATTTAAATCCTCAATCACTTGCTTAGTTAACAAAACCCCCTACCACTTGGGTTAATCTAAGTTGATTAAATTAATTAAATATGATTTAAATAAATGATGATAATAATAGAGAAAGAACAATGAAGAAAAGAAGTTAATAGTAAAGAGAATAATACTTGTGATATGCGTCATGAAAGAAAGAATTCAAAATTTGAAGTTCCTCGCTTACCTGTCCTGAATCTAACCAAAAAAGTGTAGTAGATTTCACAGATCTTACATAACCTATCTGGGATCCAGATCCTCACAGAAGCAGCGTCCCTCAACGTCCCAAATCTCAACCCTTCATTCAATATTCAATGTATCATATTTTGTCACATCATCTCATATAAAAACAATTTTACTTTAAAAATTAATTCTTTCATTAAAATAATTTTTTATTTCATTTTTTATTTTAAAAACTTGTTCTAAAAAATTACTCTACAGATTTTCACAAAAGAACTCATAATCCAACTTATTCAAACTCTAACTTGACTTATTTAATAAAAATATGTTTAAAAAAAAAGCTACAGAGTAAGTTAGACTTTAAGCAAGTACTTACAGCCTGATTTAGTCAAACTCTGACATGATCTATTTAATAAAAATTTGCAAAGTGAGTCAACTATAAGTAGATACTAATGGTCAAACTTGTTCAAACTCTAGCCTGATCTATTTAAAAAAAAAATTAAAGAGAATTTTTTTTAGAACAAGTTAAAAGAATTAATTTTTAAAATAAAATTATTTTTATATGAGATGATGTGGCAAAATAAAGGACATTGGATATTTATTGAAGGGCTGAGATTTGGCATGCTGAGGCACGCTGCTGCTGAGAGGATCTGGATCCAACTTATCCGCTACTGGGGTGCGGCTCTAAACTCTATACAAGAATCTCCCTCCCTCCCTCCCTCCCTCCCTCTCTCTCTCTCTCTATCTACAAGGGACAAATTAATCTAATCTTCACTAGAATCTTGAAAGAAATTCTGAGCAAAAATATACCCTACAACTACTTCCAAATCCTAATGATCTGTTAACAGGCTAGTCATTTCAGTGTCGTTCTGTGGGTTACTTACGTTGAACGTTACATTCTGGTCTGTCAAGTTTGGAATCATCTTCTTCTATCACCACAGCACTGTGCGCCTTTTCCTTGTTGAAGCTTCTGCCACAGACACAGCATCTCTCTTGGTCCTTGATAATGTGCAACCACATAACCATCCTTGCAGCCCACGTTATTAACTCTGTCGTCATTCTCGTACCGAATTTCTAGACCTTCCTTCTTCATCTCCGATATCCAGATGCCCATTGCCACGTCTTCTAACTTGAACATCTGCTACACAGCGTTTAAATTGTTGAGGTACCCAGCTATTAATGTAGTATCAAGTACAAAACATGTCCTTGACCTTTCCCAATTTTTTAGCGCACACAATGTAACAATTTGGCAGGCAAGGAGCCGGCGAAGAGTGAAAACTCATCAAAGTGTGTTTCAAATAATAAGGTCCGCGTCACACTAATTTGAATAAGTTTTTATTTGCCTTTTGCGCCAGTCAGTTTTACAAATACTGGATGCTAAAATTTATCTCTAACCACGAGTAATAGATCCCACATACCTTCAAATGGCCCTCTCTGTATTTCCGGTATACCGTCCTTGCTACATCATGTGAGATGACATAGCCTGGACCATGTGCCCATGGGGGATAAGATGCTTCAGGCCATTCCTGTGACATAGCAAACAACAAAATACAAAGACGTCAGATAAGAAAACAGCAAAATCTGTTAGGTATTCTTAGAAGGGGGGAAAGAGATAAAAGAAAAGACTATTTATACCCAAAATCCAGCTGTTTCGAACATAAAAAACAGAAAATAGAAGTCCTGAGTTGAGCAGAAATTAGCAATATAAACCTATATTATACTTTGATCCAAGAGATCTTACAAAAGCTTGTGCCCATTTATACAAGTTAGAATTCTGTTATGCTCGGAATCTAGTAATGTAATAGATTTACCTCGGGACTGATGTGCCACTTGCTATCTGTATGACGGTGAGGATGAGAATCTGAATTGATGAGACCATAGAGTAACCCAGTTGCCACATTGATTCTATTTAATGAAGCAAGCACTTCATCCACACGAACAAACGCATCATCATCTGTCTTCATGACAAACTTTGCTGAAACAACCTCTGTCTGTCATAGAGGTGAGAACAATGAGACGAAGGAAGCAATCTCCCAGTCAAAAGTAGAAGGCGAGACATTACCCCATATATGCAAATTGCTAATGTTTTCCAGGTGATAAGGCCGTAGTAGTCAACAAATGGCATCAGTTGTATGTCTCCATAAGTCTCTGCTTCTTTCCACAGTTCTTCATTAACTATTTGGTTTTTATGCTGCATCGTCTCCAAGAGAAGACAAAACTCAGCAACGTGCTAATAAGCACAGAAGTCTAAATAGAAAACATAAGATAACATATAGGCTTGAAAAGAAATGCTCTCCAACAACAATTGTGTAGATCTTACTGTGGCTAAATTATGAGCAGCCTATGCATTATTAATCAGACAAGCACTAAATTTGAAGACTATTTCACAAAACAACTGAAAGAAAATATAATTCAATTTCAGGATTAATGAAAGCATTCCTACGTCAACAAATCTTAGAATCATGCATGCCGATCAGAAGAAGCACCCACCAAACCAACAAAGAAGCGCACTGCAGTTTTGGCTGATCGGACTGCATCATACTGCATCCAGGTCCTCCTAACAGCCATCCTGCGCTTAAAATTATTGGCTGTAGAGAAAACACCAATGAGGAGATCCAATGGCCTTTGCACAGGTATAGGTTTTGATTTCAATGATTCTAGATCAATGACGTGCTCTGAATCTTCAGATGTGGGCAAACCACTGGCAAGAACAGAAACAAGCTTGAGGTCTCCAGAAATTCTCATCTCACTAACAAGCCATGGCTCCAAAGTCTGCAACATTTAGTTCAGTCAGTAAATAAATCAGAAGCTACAAATATTTAATCCTCAAAATTGAAAGAAGGAAACCAAAAAGAAGCAAGAGAGGCAGTACTTCACGAAAAGCAAATGATGTTATGTGCTTTCCATCAACTGTCATCTGGATTCCCTCTGATCCCACTCTAAGAGTTGCAGCAAATGGATAACCTTGCTTAAACGGAAAGTATGTTCTATTTTTTGATCGTTCATCAGTCACGAAAATCTCCTAGAGGTCTTGGGGATGGAAAATTGGTTTGTGTTCCTCCCTACAATCCTATTGCACTGCTCCAACTCATCAACTGGATAAAGAAACAGCAACGTCAAGAACAAAACCAAAGAATGAAATTTAGATATCTTTCGCCTGGACAAACTAGATTAATATCTTTTCACCTTTTGTAATCTTTTCTGGAGTAGGGGATGGGCAACGCTCCTCTTCTCCCCAATCATGAGCTACTGTCCAGGTGTTTTGGACGATGACAGGATCTTCAGTAATTTTATCACCGTGAAGCCTGACATTATAGTGCAAAATAACTGGTGGGTCAGGCTCCCCAGGAAGTGGCTCTCCTGTCAAGTCAATCCGAAAGTTTCCAAGAAGACCATTTGGAATGCCAATGATAGTGATGGAAGAACCCTGTGTCAGGCCACAAGGAACTCGCAATTTATAACTATTATTATCATGCTCTGTGAAATTCATGTTATTTAGAAAATGAGGACATTGTTTCTCTTTCCTTCTCCCATTTAGACTGTCATTTACACCACCTTTTCTTTCTTCTTCAAGTGAGGATATAAGATTTTTCCATACACCCACAGCTTCCTTGATAGCTTCTGCTGCATTAGGTAAACCCTGAGTATTATCAAGCAAGTGATTTAATTGGTTCCATGTCTGCAGAGCTTGTAGCCCTTCCTTGGTGAAGTTGCTCTTAGAGAAGAGGCTGGACAGTACAACATCAGCAGAAATCGCATGAATAGCACTCTCTCGATTTTGAATGGCAGGTGAAACCTCAGGATTTATCCATTGTAGAGGATTAGAACCATTAACAATGACAGTTATATTCTGATAACCTTCCCCAATAGGGTTTTTCATAAATCCATATCTAAGGAACAGTAGCGTGAACAACATAAACGAAGAGGCAATAAGAACTCCACCATACCATTTCTTCATTTTGATCATCACATGAGCAAATCCATAGCCCTGGACCTCAATTTCATGGCACTTGAGCAGGACACAAGACTAGTACGAAACCAACCATGAACATAAGAGTAACTTTTTATTTATTCTTGTTGAATAAACAAAAGTCAGAAGTCAATGATAACTGATGCCATCTGAAGCAAAAGGTAAACTCTTATCAGACTGTAGGAAAAATACTGAGGAAAACTTTTACTTAATAGAAGTGTAATATTTGTTTCCCCCCTCCTAGCTAAGTACCAAAAACCAGGGATTACAAGCCTGTTCTGGGCTTAGATATCCACTTTCAGAGTTAATTGTAATTGGAGGACACATCAGATGCAGTTACCATATTAGACCTGCATTCAGATCAATAAGGTTGTCAAAAATTAGCTTTTAAAAACCATAGCTTATATGCATGCAACAGCCCAAACAATATTTTTTGCCAACGCTCAACCACGCACTAGAAGCATATACAACCTCTATTTACCACACATTCAGCAAAGCAAGAAGGGTATATACTCCATTTAGATAGTCTATAAAGCACCTTTAATGAAAGGCAGAAATATAACAGGAACTATATTAATTGGTCAATAGGTTAAAAGAAAAGGGTTTAAAGAGGAAGATCCCCAGTACATATTATATAACTAATACCAAGTACATCAATAATCAATTTCATAAAAAAATGAAACGCGTCACAGCTTTTCTTCAAACATAATTCAGATTTAGATTAATCACTGTTTCAGCGGTTGGTTTGCTAGCATCAACTAAGAAAATCATTTGTATATAAAAGTGTCTGCTATTCTTCTTCATCAACAAATTATTTGCGATTCTGGTAAAAAAAAAAAATATTTGCGATTTAGTTCGAACCTTAACATAACAAAAGTATCGACTTTATCGGTTTTTTTTCCAATTTGGTGTCAAATCTGCCAAATCGCTAATAAGAAAAACTATCATTTTGTGAGAGGGCGGGGGCCATGGGAAACCGGATTTCCAATGTGAGCTTGCTTCCTCAAATCTCGCGTTTGTTTTAATTTTTCCGATTTGCATGCTCAAAAACAGTCCAAATCTTCAGAAAGTAAAATATAATATTCCGTCACTAATTTTTTCCCAAAAGAATTTAAATATGAAAACGAATTATTCTACATAGCAATGCTAGCATCTATCTTAGTCACAGTAACTGGAAAACATGTATCTATAGGTCCTCGAAAACCAAGCAGAGTTGAATATAGAGCAAAGTAAACCAAAGTAAGGACATCAAAACTCAGATCGAACGCTTATAACGAAAGAACACCATAAAGAAACAACTGACAATCACTAAGGAGCTGAGAAACAGAAAAACTAGGAAGAATCGAGGCAGAATTATCCTGTATCATTCGACAATACAAAGCAAGAAAAGCGCAGAGAATTGAAGCAGAAACAAGAATCATGAGGCACAAAGAGGCAGCGTCAAGTAGTTGAGAGACGAAATCTCGCATACCAGGTGAAAATTTCTCGGGAAAATGCAGGAAAGTGAAAGGGAGAGAAATCGAGTAGGGAGTGGTTTTAATGTGAGTTTATGAAGCCGCAATTCTTCAGGTTGTCTTCTCATCAAACGAGGAACACTTTGGTCCTGGTCCCCTTTCAGCACCAAGGAAAAACCAGAGACATTTCATATAGTGCTCATTCAACTTCTTCGCCGCGTTCCGTTCTACTCCTATTTATTTATTTATTTATTCTTTAATTAAAGAAAATGTCAGCTTTGAATTTTGATATTATTTTATTGATTGATAAGTTTTCAATTACAGATTGGAAATTTATCTCGTGGCGGTCTCTTAATGGACCTGAAGACGGACGAGAATAGAACTCTTTCTTTTAATTTATTTTTCTAATTTCTAATTTAAGAGTTGAATTCATTGAACTATTCTAAAATGGAAATAGTGTTCTGTTAAAAAGGTAAAAGTTAAAAGATTCACCCAATCCAAATCCATGAAACTGTCTTTTTGAAATCATTTAAAATTTATCCAAATTTTGTATGCAACTGTCTATACTATAATATTCAGTTTCGTTAGATCAAATTTAAGCGTTACTTAATAGACTCAATTAAAGATAAGTATATAACTATCTCAACGTGATCCAAAAAGTAAACAGTAATAAATAAAAAAGGGTATAAAATCATGGGCAAATAAAAAATAAAATTTTGAAAAAAGAAGAACGTGTTGACGGTTGTTTGTGGGAGATATAATGGTGGGCAAAGTCGTAGTTGGAATTTTATGGTGTTTAGTTGAATAGTTGGCCGGCGGGCCGGACATGGTAAATGTCGTTTTGACTTAACGACAAAGCAAAAGTGTCGTTTGTATTGCAATGGATGCCGAGTAACTTTCAAAGCTGGAGAGGTCAGTGACAGATCGGCATCGTAGTAAACGACTTGCGTGATTTTTAATTTCACAATTTTATTAGTGGTAATAGTTGTGGTAAGACATATAATAAATGTCAGTCTCAACAGTGTGTCTTAGAAGGCTTGCCTTGGATTTTTTTTTTTTTTTAAGTTCAAATGTTAATGTCAGTCTTATGGTTAATTTTCGTGTTTTCCGGTTCTTCCCCTCTTCTTTTAACATCTGGCATTTCTTATTCTTAGCGAGGTGTCGTCGTCGTCGTCGTCATTATAATAATAATAATAATACTTTTAGATTCCTTATTTTACTAATATATTGAGTTATTGACTACTAATCAAAAAGTATATTAAAATTAAGAAAAAACATAACTTTGCACTTTTTTTTTCAATCATGTGGGATGGAAAGAAATGTTTATAGTTAGCTACAAAGTTTATTTTATATATTGTAGGAAGTTTCATTTTGTTATTACTGAGAGTTATTGGTACCATTTTATATGGTTGGAATAAACTAACATTAAATTTTGAAATATCAACTAATCAATCATATTTTATAGCATTAGAAATAATATTTTATATTAAATTTTTTATTGCTTTTGCCATCAAATTGTCGGTGATGCCCTTAAATACATGGTTACCAAACACTCATAGAGAGACACATTATAGTATTTGTATGTTTTTAACTGAAATTTTATTGTAAATGGAAGCGTATGGATTGATTCAAATTAATGTAAAATTATTACTCCATGCTCATTCTTTATATTTCTTTTACAACAATAAAAAAAAGTGTAAAAATTTATAATAAAATTCAAGTGAAATGTAGGATTTAAAATTATATTTTTTTTTTAAAATTTAATGCGTTTGAAGTTTCTTTTTATAAATAAATGCCAAGGTCAAAGCGAGAGAGAGAGACCCCTAAACTTGGATGAAAGCATGGTGCTACCAAAAGATCTAATCAGTCAGTGAAGAATGCCAGATCACATGGGATCCCATTCCAGGCTGAAAACTAATTTTCTTTCTTTCTTTCTCCTTTCGTTTCCTTTCCTTTTTTTTTTTTTTTTTTTTGGTCAGAAAGCAAACCACTTCCATAAGACCACAAGGAAAAAAGTCAACAGCAACCAAAAAAAAAAAATGCAAGGGGACGAAAAATACACCAGCAGAAGAAAATAACAAACAAAGCTAGGAAAACGAACAGTAAACTAAGAGAAAACAGGAAAAAAAAAAAAATCAGCCAATTTCCAGATAAAGATCGGCATTAGAGGTCTGCTTAGTGGATCGGCTCATAACTGATTATCATTAATTATGTTCAATAAAAAAATTAATATGAATTTCTTTATAGTTTTTCTTTAATCTTGAATCAAGTCTTTATAGTTTATTTTATTTTAATCAAGCTTTTATAGCTTAGTCGATTAAATGTGTTAATCTTTAAAGTTTAATATTATTAATGAGTGATTAACTTTCTCAAACAAAAACTCTTTTTAATTTAAAATTAAAAAAAGTGATTTGATACAATGTTTATATTTTTATCATTTTTTTATGAAAATTCCATAAGTACAAAAAATTATTTAGAAGCTAAGACAGCCTAATTATATAGATTATGAGCGATAAAAATTATGTACATAATTATTAAGCTATATAATCTTTTAATAAAAGTATAAAAATTCTTAATTTAATTTTTTGAAAGAAAAAATTCAATGATTTTAACTTACAAAAATTAACATATTTAATTGATCAAATTATAAAAGCTTGATTGAAATAAAATAAATTACAAGGACCTAATTCAAAATTAAAAAAAAACTAAAAAAATTTGCAGATTAATTTTCTCAAAATAAAACTTATCATTATCAGTTTGAATTGTTCAAATTGATTTTAGAGGGGTTAGATTGTTAAATATTTTTTTGTTGGTATAATGTAAGTTGGTTAAAACTATCTCATCATATACTCCCTCTAATTTATTCTAACTATAGGACCTCTTCAACTAATTCAACAAACTTTAAAAAAAAGAGAGAGAGAGAGAGAGAAAAATCACATTAAAGTCCCACCTAATTAAGTTAACTTCAATTAAGTTCCTTGAATTTGTTTAACTACTGAGAGGTCTCAAAGAACTTGGGTGTTATTTTTAACGCATATGAAAAAACGAAAATTCCTTCTAAGTGATAAAAAAAAGCTGAAAAAAAATCCTGTCAAATCTTATTATCATCACTTTTCTCTCATATAAGCCACTTGTTGAAGTTTTCTTCCCCATGAAATTTGTCACAACTCAACTCTCCCTCCTCCATGTCTTGCCACCTCCATTATCGTCATCACTCTTCTTATGCTTCTCACTACTCCTTCCCTCTCTCGCGTCTTTGTGTTTCTTCCTCTCTCTCCTCCTCAACTCCTCCAGAATCACCATGAATATGAAGCCCTCTTCCATTCCCCATTTATAGTCCAACTCAGACCAACAAGTTTCCCCCTCCATTGATGCGCTTCTTAAGATTCGACATCACCTATCAAAGTCAAGGCAAGTCATTGTGACATTGTAGTAAGATGATTCAAATACAAGACTCCTAGGGTGGTTACATTAATGTCCAAATGTGGAGATTGAGGGAGGATTCTCCTCTTTGACAATTTTATGAGGGCAAGAGGGGTGATCAAAAGGAGGAGGGCTAATGTGATTAAATAAATAGTCAAGCTCGCCAAAGGAGGAGGTGGTTGGGGTGATTAGAGTCGGTAGCAGAAGGGCGGGTTGCGGTGAGATTGACAGGGAAGCCAAAGGATGGAAGCATGGTGTGTGGAGGGAGAAAGTGGTAGCTGTAGGAACAGAATCAAGAATGAGACCCATCCTCGATCCATGAAAGAATACAAGCAGACAAGAAGAACATTCTTGTTGTCATTGAAGGCTAGAGGATTTTAATGTAATTGCAACAAAAACTAGTTTACTTGGGACTTAGTAATAATTTATATATTTCATGAGACTTTAGGGTAATTATAATCATTGTGAGGGATTAGATAATAATTCTCCCTAAAAAAAATACTTCTTTTCAACCACAATACTGAACATTTCCTAAAAGTCCTACTTAGTTCAAAATATAGGACATTGAATAATTCTTATAATTATTTTTTACTATACTTCTACTTCATTTATTTTTTTTAAAATAATGTATTAGAATTTTAATTATCATTATCAAAATACTTATATAAAGTAGTTAATGAAGGTAAAATAGGAAATGTGTAAAATTTCTTACAAAAAATTAAAATTTTAACTAACATTTTTTAAAAATTATGAATTAATTACCAGTAACTTATGTTTTTGGTAAGTTGAAGTAGTAATTAAATTAATTATTTCTAATTAATACTGAGAAAACTACAATTGCCTTCAATGTAAATATTTCTGCAACGCTTTGACTTGTGATGAAACGTACAGCCCATCCATTGGTTTTTTTTTTTTTGGGTCAAAGCGTACGGCCCATCTTTTTATTTTAAAACAAAATTTTTGTCAAAACGTCCCGCCCATCTTTATTGCATATAATTATCGAACGATTGATCAACTAGGAAGGAACAAAAAAATTTGCTTTTTTTATTATAAGAAAAAACTAGGGAGGAACAAAATTACGAGTTCATTTTTATATATTTTATAGTACTAAGGATTACACGCATAATTTGGATTTTAACAAAATTAATCTGTAAGTCTTTATAGTTTTTAAAATTTTAAATTAGATCCATATAATTTATTTTATTTTAATTGAGTTCTTATAATTTGATGTATTATATATGTGTAGCCCAAACAATATGTTAACTCTTGAAAATTAAAATTAATAATGGATTCTTAAATTTTTCAAAAAAAATATGTTTAGAGTTTATAGAAATTTTAATTTAATATTTTTAGTCAATAAAAAATAATGATTTAATGCACTTTTAACATTTTTATTAAGTTTTTATGAGAACTATATACTATAAAAAATATTAAAATACAACCTAATTATATAAATTTTGAGTTATTAAAATTATTTAATTAATTCTAAAGTTATATAATCATTCAATAAAAATATAAAAGTTCTTAATTTTGTCTTTTTAAAGAAAAAAATTCAAGAATCTTAATCTTCAAGGATTAAAAATTTTAATTGATCAAAATTATAAGGGTTCAATTAAAATAATATAAGAAAAAATTACACCTATGTCCTATAAAAGAGAATTTACTACTGAAAAATCTCATAAAATTTATAAAATACTCTCATGTTTTAAATTCTATGCATTTGCAGCTTGCAAAAGGAATTTACAATTAGGTAAGGACATTAAATATGGAATGAGCTTTGAAATTATAATGGAAAGATTTGTGATGGAATTTTCATTGCAAATGCTATTACAAAATTAGAATAAGGTATCCTAAAAATTAGCAACAGATCTTTGTTAGTAAATTTGTTGCTAAATTATTTCTAATGATTTAGCAATAAAAATTTTAGTGTAAAAAATGTTTCATTTCTAAACTTTGTTGGTAAAATTATTTTTGATGGTTTGCCAATAGAATTTTTATCCACGGAATGTTTCATCACTAAATTTCATAGATAAATTAGTGACAAAAATTTATTATATCATTAATTCACTATTTTTTTTAGTGTGAATACCATTAATGAGGGGTTTAGAGTTAATCCTAATTTTAAATAATCAAGTTTAAGCTAATGAAGGTAGCAAGTAGCGATTATTAAGTTTACTGGAAGCCAAATAAACTAATGGAAGTTAATTTTGGGACTAGTTAGGCTTAATCATACTTAATAATGGGTCAGGGCTTAATCTTGATAAGGGAGTTAATTAATGATGATTAATCATTAATGCTATTTTGCGAATTATGATTGTAAACTGATTGTGCTTACCATGACAGATTAGGTGTCTTGAGTTGGACACAATGAGGCAAGTGATCTTTGTATCATAAGCCATGGTGAAGAGATAATTTAACTGTGATGGTTGTTTTTAATCTTGCTAAATGATTGTTTTACTCCTAAGTGATTGTTTTCTCAATGCTTTTCTATTTTCCATGCTCCCGTGCAACTTTTACACTTTGATGTTTTAAAGAAATACCTTTTATAACCTTCAAATATTTTTGAGATTCTTATTTAAAGGTTGGTCTTTATTTTTGTAGTTATATTTCAAAGCCATGGTTGATCCTTAAATGCGTTTAATTTGGGTTAATGACGGGTCATTACATTAATTACAGCCATGAAAGAAAATGCCTTGTTCAACTTGTGAGAGAAGCTCTTGTTAAAAAAATGATAGGACGGAAAAGGTTTTTCTTTTTTTCTTTTTTTTTGGGTGACACTGGAGGAAAAGATTTATGTCTTTAGAATTTATACAATGCACGTCCCACCTGGGTTTGTAGGCAACAAATTAATTCTTTTTTAATGTTATTTTGATAAATAGGTTCAATGATTATTAACCCACTCGCTCGTCAGATTGATGTAATAAACCATAAGGAATATATCCTGGATTAAATAAAATAAAATGTTTATTTATAACTTTTTAAATTGCTATATTTGCAACTCATTTTTCAGTAAATTTTTTTTACACGTAATTGTTATTAAATTAATAATCCTTAATATATCGTGGTGGTGATTCTCTTTTAAATATATCAGAGATGTGAAAGGCGAAGTAGCTAGCAATGCTTTGACAATTGTTAACTAAATCATCAGTTTATTATAATTAAGCAAACAGTTTAATTATTTGAAGCTTGAAACATCTTAAAGCACGAAGTTACTACACAAGTTATTTCTAGACCTGATGGTGCAGTTAAAAACAATGGAAGTGATTGGGTTTTTGGTTTCAATCTAACTTTGGGAAATTTCTCCTTGCTATTACTAAAATTGTTGTTATTATTCAAGGCTTGAAACTTTGCTCACGGAGGGGATTTTAATGTGTTAAGTGTTCACATATGGCACTGAAGCAAGAATCTTCTTGCTCCTTTGGATTTAACAAATCATCCTTTTAGAGATGTAATTGATTATGCTAAATTTCTTTTATGTAATTGTAGTTATGTTTTTTTTTTTTTTTGTCTTTTATGTTTAGAGAGGAAAATACTTGTACCTAGCTGTTAGCTATGCGTGATCTTGATTTATTAGAGTTTTTTATATGTTTTTATCAACCCTCACCTTAGTGTTGGAAGGCAGTGGATAATAATAAAAGATGATCATTTTTTATGTATTATTCATAATTTTGATTGGTTAATGGTATTTCTTTAGATTCAAAATTTTTTAACATAACAACAGAAATCGATGATGAAGGCACAAAGAGCCCAATAACTATATTACCTTATATAGAACTAGGTTAGAAACCCTAATGCTGATAAAATGATTAAAATATACAAAAGAATAACAATCTTAGACATAAAATATCTCCATACAGTGTAATTGGTTCAGGATCATGAGAGGGTATTGGGTCATCTCCTTTGGACTGCAACAGTAACCTATTGGGCTTAACACTTCGACAATTACCAATTCAACACAAAGTGGACTCCAACTCAATACTTAAGCAAGTTTAACAAGGATCTGGATTCTGAACAAAATAAAGAAATAAATAAAAAGGATCTGGATCACATGCAGCATTTTTGGTTAAGCGAATGGGAAGTAGGGCGATCTAACTATTCATTTTATCCAAAGGGAGAAGTGCACAAAAAGTCTAAAGCACACAAAATTTTTTTGTAATAATTAAAAATTACTTCACAATTTAAATCATAAATTATTCCACTTGGCTGGATTATTGTATGAAGTCCCATACACCAACCACTGTAATTGTGAAGTAAGAATTTTATAATTTAAATTGTAAACTAGTTTTTTATTGTAAAAAAAGTTTGTATACTTTGCAAATGATAAGGCTCTTTGTACACACATCTCTTTTTAACTACGATATCAAATAAACGGTTAAAATTTCCCTATTTTTCATCTACTGCACCAAAAATACTGCATGTGATCCAAATCTAGTTTAACAAACTTATAAGCCACTACCATATGAGCTTTTATTTAATTAAAAGACGCATCAAAGAGTTATACTTGAGATACTAGTATGAACAAGCCACTAATAGTGAGCTCGAATTATTATATATTGCGGACGCAGTCACACTTTATTACAGTTCATAATATAGGGTCTAGGGATGGGGAATGAGATGGCAGCGTCTAGGAATGGTGAAGGCAATTCTAGGATTGATGCCTGAGTATTTCCACGTGTCAGATTTGATGATAGCATAGAAGCATTCCTCCGAAACTTGTGAGAGAGGCTCGCAGCATTTTGGAGGCACAGGAATGGTCAAGTCTCTGGCTGGTTTGGCACAGTGATGAAGAACATGAGTGAGCATCCTATCTGGACTGAACTTGCCACACACACCATAGCCATCAGCTTCTGCCCCAGCAATGGCCACAATCACGAGAAGTAACACCAAGCAAACCAACTTCTTTATCCTCTCTGATTTCTTCAGCTCTCGAACAAGTAAGCTATATGAGTACGTGATTGATTGCGTTTCATAGCTTCTGCTATATATATATAGGGTGAGAGAGAGAGAGAGAGAGAGAGGCAGTAGCTACACTTTGGAATGAAGCAAAACTCGTTCTTAAAGTCTTATTCCTTTGGCCCGCGGACTGTTATCTTGGATGATTTTTGAAAGTCTTAGGACTTGCCGATGAGTGCATATATATATATGTACATACACAGAAGCTGGAGTCTTAAAGTTGTGATCACAGTGCTCATGGTTATTGTGAAAACTTGTATCATATATGAATTGATTAAGTTATTCCATCACCTACTCCTTCCTTCGTCGATGGGTGTTTTGCTATGGGCATCACTAAACAAATGACTTTTGAGTCATCTTTTATGAAGAAGTCAAATTTTTAGGCTCACGCATAACATATTATTTTGAAAAAATTGCTACTAAATTCTCCTGGAAACTAAGATTATGATGAAAGACCAAAGAACCAGAGTGCAAGTAGATAGGTTCAGGATGTAAGTTGATAGCTATAAAATCCCAGGTCTATGTGCTTGTATTTGGGTCCTTTAATTTGATCCTTTAGCACAATTATATTTTGACCTTAAGGAGGGATTTATTAGCAATTTTTTCTATTATTTTATCAAATTCAATATTAGAGTTAACTGAAATTAAGCATTGTTTTACGTTTTAAATATTCTAACAATTAAATTAGCTGTGCTAGCGAGCAACTATGGCAGCTTAGTTCAACAGATGAATTAAAATTTGATACTCCCTCATAAGAATATGATTTAAATTTTTTTAATATAATATATACTCTCTAATAAAAATATAATAAACTCATAACAAATCTCATGCATTTTTTCTTCAACTCTGGAATAGATGTTTGGTTGATAAAGAAGACTACTAATTAACTTGATATTTTTTATCCTAAGACTTTTTTTTTTTTTTTTGTAAACAGAAGGAGTAAACTCTATTGTTTCGATGACAATAGAGATTATCTCTCTTGAGACATTAATCTTAAGACTTTGTTTAAGAAAAAATAAGTCTTCCTCCAATTAATAATTCAACCACCATTATTTTGATCGAATAGATTATTTAATTAGATGTCTTAATTATGCAAATACTACTAAATAAGTTGTTAAATATCCAAGCGTAGAGTTTGAAGTATTTATTAATATTCATAATTTTATTCTTGAATTTTAAAAATAGACAATTAAATTTGATAAAGGAGGCAAATATTTAACTCTAGATCGGTTCACTAGTTAAAGTGCACTCACTCTGATAAACCTACTATTAATTAACAACTTTACATATATTAAGTAATTCTATATATTAATTTTAGTTAATGTTTTTAAATTTTCAAAATTATTCTGAATGAAATTCATCAATTAGAGAAGATTAATTGTTTAGTTAATTAGATAGGAAGTTATTTAGTAAATTAGGTAGGGAATATCAAAAGCAATTAAAGGATGTTTAACTAGGGAAAAATCAATGCTTTGTACAAAATGTTTTATATTAAACACCATGAGAATGAGACTTAGAAAAAGAGAAATGGAAGGAGTAAGATGCATGATATATAGTTTAGTTCTCAATTTCTATATTTTTAAACACGTATGTTAATTATATGGGGGAAAAAGTTGAAATCCTATTGAGCGTGAACTAATTTATCAAATTGATGATATACTCAATGACAAGTTATTTTTTAATAGACCGAGTATTATCATGCATATACTATATTTGAATATTGTTGAACTTAATTGCATCAGGTATTGTTTCAATCTCAACCTTTCATTTGACCAAATTTTGATTAATAACTCAACTTATTTACCCAACCAAAGAGCCCAATCTGTCATGTAACAAAGCATGATTCATGCCAAACATACATGTGGAATTCAAACAAACAAAGCTTTCTAATTTAGTGAACCTAGCTACTGGTTCATCATTAATTAAGAGAAGAATAATTTATTTATATGAAACTTGCGTGATACATCTTGTTGGAAAACGGTGGATCACCTTATCACCCTTAAAGGAATATAATAGTGCAACTTTGACATATTGGAAAATACTATTCCATGAAAGAAATAACCTGATACAACAAGTATATATACAAAACAAATTGGAATAAACGATAGGTGGCTGAACTAACTAACACTACCACACAAAACGACATGCATACAAAGGCTTATGTATCCTCAATACTCCCCCTCAAGTTCTAACTATGAACACCAATAGTTTGCGACTTGTTGAGGAATCTGTCATAAAGCTTCTTTCCTAAAGCTTTGGTTAAGACATCTAATTCTTGATCCCTTAAATGATCATGATGCAGATAGATTAGCTTTTGTTGTAGCTTTTCTCTAACAAAATGGCAATCAATTTTTATGTGTTTCATTCTCTCATGAAACATAGAATTGTTTGCTATGTGTATAGCTCCCTATTATCACAAAACACCTTAATAGGTTCAATATTATAAACACCTAAATCTTTCATCAATCCTATTACTCATATTATTTTTGAACAACAATACTCAATGCCCTATACTCAGCCTTTGCTAAGGATTTTGACATAATTCTTTGCTTCTTAGTCTTCTAGGAGATTAAGGAGTCTCCCATCTTCAAAATAAAGCTAGAAATTGATCTCCTTATTATGTGGCACATAGCCCAATTAGAGTCATAGAAGCATCTTAGTGTTGAATCAGCTTTCAAACCAAGCAGTATCCCAATTCCTAGTTTGTACTTGAGATACCTTAACACGTTCTTTGTTGCAGCCATGTGGGTCTTTCTTAGGTTTTCCATAAATTGGCTTAAGTTCTGCACAGAAAAATATATGTTAGGGTGAGTTATAGTCAAATAAATCAACTTACCTATCAATTTTCTGTATTCTCTAGGATCCTTCAGCAATTCCGTTTCTTATTTCTTCCTTCTTCATGAGTTGAGAGTTTGAGGTTGGGAGCTATAGGCATTCCCAATGGCTTACACCCATTCATACCTGTCTCAAACAATAAGTCCACAATAAATTTTCTTTAATTCATTATCATTCCTTTTTTAGATCAGGCTATTTCTATTCCTACAAAATATTTCAAAAAGCCAAGGTCCTTTATCTTAAACTTACTGTGCAAAAATTCTTTCGTTTGTCTAATACCAATCTCAGAACTATCAGTAATCAATAAATCATCTGTATACACAAGAATTAATACAATTTTGTTATTAAAATATTTAACAAATAGTGAGTAATCATGTGGGCTTTGATTAAAACCACTAAGTTTAAGTGCTTGTGTCAGCTTATAATTCCATTGGCTTGAAGCCTGTTTTAATCCATATAAAGATTTATTTAGTTTGCAAACTTTATTCTCCTCCTTATTATTAAGACCCTATAGGATAATCATATAAACTTTCTCATCAAGATCTCCTTGTAAAAACACATTATAAACCTTCATCTAATGTAAAACCTAGTTATGTTGAGCAGCTAAGGATAGTATAGTCTTGATAGTAACCATTTTTATAATAAGGGAAAAAGTTTCTTGATAATCCAATCCACCCTTTCTTTTTTACTATACCCTTTTACTACCAATCTCGCCTTATATCTCTCAATATTTCCGTCTACCTTATATTTGATTTTATATGCCCATGACCCTATTAGCTTCTTACCTTTAGGTAAGTCTACTATTTTCTAGGTCTTGTTATCTTTCAGTGCTTAAAACTCAACATTCATTACTTCTACCCATCTCTTATCTTTAAAAGCTTCTTGATAACATTTAGGTTCTAGGTCAGAATCAATGGATGAAAGAAAGCACTTATGAGATTTATGTAAATAATCATAGGAAACTTGCTTCTATAAAGGATATTTAATGCTAGAGGTATCACAAGTAGAGAAAACATAGTCTTTAGACCAAATAAGTGGCCTCTTATCTCTAGCAGGTCTGATTTTGTGTTGTTCTTGATCATTAAGTTCAATTATGTCATTCTTTCAACAACATGAGGTTCTCTTAATTCATTTAATTCATGAGATAGTTTAGGTATAAGATCAGATATATAACAACTATCTTTTTCATTTTCATGTTGGAGAAAATTTGAACCAAACTAGAAATTTTTATCAAATAATTATTGTGCCTCATTTTGTTTTGAATTCTTGATATCTTTAAAAGGGAACTTGTTTTCAACAAATTTGACATGTCTAGACACAAACAAATGGTTAGTTCTCAAATCAAGCAGAACAAGTTCCTTTTGATTCTTAGGATAACCCAAAAAAACACAAGGAAATGATCTAGATTCAAATTTATCAGTAACAGTTAAATCAATGGCAAAAACAAGTGAACTAAAAATCTTTAATGTCCTAAAATCAAGTGGCTTACCATAAACTAATTCATATGGTGTCTTAAACTGTAAGATCCTTGATGATGTTTTGTTTATTAAGTATGCTGCCATTTGGATACACTCACCCCAAAACTTAATAGGTAGTCTGAATTGAGAAATAAGAGATCTAGACACTTGTAAAAGTGTTCTATATTTTCTTTCAACTACTTCATTTTATTTTGGGATATAAGGACAAGTAGTCTCATGTATAATGCCTTTATTCTTGAGAACAAGTTTCAGTTCACTATTCAAAAACTCCTTACCATTGTCTGTCCTTATTCTTTTAACAGGAACAAAAAAATTGATTTAAAATATATGCCATGAAATGCTTGATATGATCACAACCTCATATTATGTTTTAACAAAAAAACTCAAGCTACTCTAGAAAAATCATCAACTATGATAAGAAAATATTAATAATGTTGGTGCGTGGGTTCTCTATAAGGTCCCTATATATCTATATGCAACAATTCAAAACAACATTGAGTTTTAATAGAGCTAGAAGGAAAAGGGAAATTTCTTTGCTTAGATTGAAGATATATCTCATAAATCTTATTATTCATATGAACACCATCTTTTATCAAGGGAAGGTGTTTCATAATAGGAAAAGAAAGATGGCCTAACCTATAATGCCACAACCATTCATCACTGAATTCATTGTTTACATCATTTTCAATAGCATTAACAATAAGTATGTTAACTGTTAGGATGTATAACCCTTATAACAATTTAGTAGTTGCTTTCATCTTGCTATCTCGAAAGACCTGTACCAAACACATATCAGGATAGAAAGCAACTATACAGTTCTCTTCTTTTGTTAGCCTCAGGATAGATATCAAATTAAAACGCAACTCAGGAGCATATAAGACATTTCTCAATTTTATTTTTCCTAATGAAGTAGTTCCTACATGAGTAATTGAAACTCTTTGACCATTAGGAATCTTAATGTTTTTAACAAGACCAGTATATTCCTCATGAAAGTCTAGATATTTCAAATCACTTACTATGTGAGTAGTGGCACCAAAATCTAAAATCTAATGTATTTTAGATTTAAAACTAGAAGAGTTTTGCAAACCTATATCAGTAAGTGGATGAACAGTAGGCTCTGAGTCCTTCTTCAGCATTTGAAGTATTTGCTTATACTACTCTTGAGTAAAGGTAGGCACCACAGTCTATTCTGTTTCATTGGCCCTATTAGTAGCTTCATTTTTCACTTAACTTAGTTTATTCTATTGAGAGATCTTATTCTTATTTCCCTTAAAATTATCTAGAAATCCAATTATCTCGTAGAAACTCTCCTTAATGTGTCCCTGTTTGTGACAATAGGAACACTCCAGTGAGGAGTTACCATGTTAGCGACTCCTTCTACATCCTTGTCCTCTTCTTATAGCCATGGTACTTCCTTTAATTAGAGATAACTTGCTTGATCCAGCAATAGTTCTTTACATCTCGTCTTCCACAATCATATTATAAGCTTGGTTTATAGAGGGAAGGGTAGATATTAGGAGAATCTAACTTCTTGCCTAGCTATATGACTCAATGAGCCTCATAAGAAATTGTAAGAGATGTAGTTACTAGACTAAATCAGTATAGACTTTAGAAACATCATATTTGCATGTTGGGATGGAAATTAATGTTGATTATTCTTCCTATAATTCTTTCAACTTTGTATAGTAGCTTGAAACAGACATAGAACCCTAAATAAGGCAATAGATCTCGTGATGTACAATAAAGATTCTTAACCTAATGACTTTATTAAATCTCTCTTTTATATTTGTCCACACATAGAATGCATTTTGTGCATATGTGAGTTCATTTACCAGGTCCTTCGACATCGAGTTCAACAGCTAGGAAAAAACTATAGCATTACATCATTTCGATTGTGGATGAAGCGATGGTTCTTGTGACTCCTTTGTGCAAGTGCCATTAATAAAGCCTACCTTATTCTTGCCAAGCAATACTATCCTCATAGGCCTACTCCAGATAGTACAGTTTCTTGGTCTAGTAAGGATGTGAGGCATAAGAGATGTGGCTTGTGTGTCTGAAGGATGCAGATAAAGGCGATGAGTAAAATCAATGGTGTTTCTAGTGTTCTTCTCTTCAGTTATAGTTGGATCCATGATGATTGAAAATTTTTGAAAAGTCGATGGAAGGAAGAGCAAGAATCGACAACAACATATAAGAAGAATTAGGGCTTAGTAGAAGGAGATGCATATTGAATCACCTTTGGGTAAGCTTCCATTTCTTCCCTCTCCATTTTATACGAAAATTCTGACTTTTGGGACAATGGGGGCTTTGATCTTGGTTTTCTTAGATTTAGACCAAATCCATTGACTTATTTAAAGTTTTGAGGGGTTAAATCAAGCCTCTAACTTTAGATTTATGAGTTTTATGGTGAATTGAAATTTTTGCTGAGGATTTAGATGAACCCTAGGCGTAATTTGAGAGTTTTGGACAATGTGAATAATTGGATAGTGATTTTGGTATGTTGGGATGTTTAATAGAATGGTTAGAATGTTTGAAAATAGTTGATATTGTTAAATAAGAAATTTGAGTATTATGGATACTTAAAACTTAGTAAATTTGGGTTTTATCTAGAGTGATAATTGACAATTATTACTTAATTGTGTAGAATAAGGGTTGTTCATGTGTTATTATACGAGTGAGAACATGTGGAACTAACGTTGAGCCATAGTAATCCTTTTATGATAGGATTGATATAAAAATAATTTATACTATTTAATTATATTACTTAACTGTTTATGAGTAGATATGTTTAATTTGTTATTTGCAATTTGATAACCTTGTATATTGTGAAATGTGATTTCGTGTATGAAAAACTATTTGCAAATGATAAGAATGGTGAAAGTTTATATGGACTCGTTGAGAAATTTGAAATGTATGTATATTATATATAATGAGTGTGAGCATGATTGTATTAGGTGGTGAAAGTTCACCCGTATGAAGAAGTAGTGGAAGTCCATATGACATGTATCTCTTTAATACCTAGTGAGTCATGACGTTGGAGGAAGTCTCCTTAGTATCCATGTGGGATATGGTGTTGGAGAGTGACACTCCTTAGCATCAGTGATATGGTGTTGGAGTAACGACACCCCAATTCATGTGCGATAGGGGGAGACCATAGTGTAAAAGTCAGATAGGACACCTTTGACTGGGTAATTCTACCACTAAAGTTGAGCTCAGGTCATTGTAAATGTGCGCTTGGCCTAAGAGCTTATGGTTTCAGTCAAGGTGATTTGGAGGCTCAGATGGTATAGAATGATCATACTAGTGGTAAATAACTTGTATTTATGGAGATAATTTGTTGAATATGCTAAAGTGGCAATATACATTTACTATAGAAAATGCTATGTTGTAATATGCTAAGAGTGTATTTTAATGCTTAATAGCTTTACTCCTATATGATTGTGCATGTTAATTAACAGTAGTGAATTATTTTGTTACTGAGATATTTATCTCATCCCGTGGTTATATTTTATAGTGAGGGCTCCGGTAGGGATAAAGGGAAGGAAAGGGCGACCGAGAGTGAAGAGCTCATTTATATAGCTCTTCTCCTTGTCATTTTAGTTTGTAACGAATATGCCATAAATATTATGCCCACTTAGGAATATGACATTGTTTTGTTATCACTTGTATGAGAATATGTGAATTGGGTGTGTATCTTAGTTTAAGATTAATTTTATTGTGATTAAATGAGTATGTTCGACCAAGATACAATTAAAAGTAATATAATTGTGATGATTTATGTGTGAAAATGACCAAAATGATATTTTTATGGAGTTTTATCCACCACTTTGTATTACTGAAAATTTAAGGGTTTAGTGGTTATTTTGAGTATGAATGCTTATTTATGTGATATGATTGGCTTGTTATGTTGTGTGTGGTCCATTTGAGGTGGTTAAAGTGATTCCAGAGCTAATGGCATTTAGAAATGTGTGTTGGACACTTTTGAAAGTGTTTTGAGGTGAAACAAATCATTTTGGGTTCGAATATCTATTTTTTTAACAGATGATTATTTGAGTGTGAGACCAGTTTCATTAGTTATAGAGTTCGAAGAGCTTCGTGTGAACACTTGAATTGCTCAAATTGAATGCTGGATGGCGAAACAGCACGCTTTGAAAGTTCAGAGTGTTGTTATCTACTGTTATGACAGTAGGTGCACATTGCGATGTATAGCAGTTGCGCTGTGGTGTAAATGCTTGCTGAGGGACTTGTCCCTCTATGCCATCCTCCTCAAAGGGTGTGGCCTGCGCCACAGCGGATGAGCTAGTTTATAGAAAAATTCTAGATTATATTATCTTATTTTCATATGCTTATGATTTTTATGCTTCCGTTATCATGTTTGATTGATTTTTAACTTTAATTTGAGCTAAAACAATATTTTTAAAAGGATTTTCTTGGGATCTCATTGTTTTAAACTAATTATATTTAAAATTTTTGGGTTGTGATAACTTTTATTTGTGATTTTATCTAATCCTAGTTATTACAACAGCGTGTAAGAGTGTTGTTCTGATAATGCCAAGGCGAACGTTACAAGCTACACGTTTACTTGACTCAAAATCAACATGAATTATAGAAGCATGCTTAACAACCTTATTATGAGCTACTATAATGAGATCTTGTTATTATAATTAATAAGGACATAGTCACTGTAACATTTTAATTTAATTTTTAGAGTTAATTAGAATTAATGAAAAATATAGAAAGAATGTTTGAAGATAAAGAAATTAATTAAAAGATTTTTAGTTTAACATAGAATATAATTTTATGTTAAGATGTGTTTTAGAAAATGAAAAAAAAGGGCTAAGGCTTGTTAACTTAATTATTAAGTTATGGTATAATATAAATTAATTATTAAGTTATAGTATAATATAAAAAAAAATGAGACAAGAGGCGGCAGAAAGAGCATATAAAAGTGCTCTCCTTTGCTTTTTTCTTTTCCCACAGAGACAGAGAGAGAGAGGAGAGAGCGAGAGAGGAGGAGACAGGAGAAGACAAGGGATTTGAAAAGATTTTAAGGTAAGTTTTAATATTTAAAATTATTTTCTATTATTAAAATCTTTTTTAAAATATTTCCTATTCATCTAGAGTTTTCTAATGATAGTAAAATTTTGATAAGTGGAGTAAATTTTAAAGTTTAAACTTAGGGTAAGTATTGACTTTTAACAATGAAAACTATTAATTAGTAGAGATATAATTAGTACTTAAATTTTATAGGTTTAGATTTATTTTATAAACTGATTTGAGAGTTTAAAATAAGTTTTTAGCTATAAAATTTTTGATCTATGATGTATAGGATATCTATATGAATTAAATTATATTTTTGGGATTTCGATAAGTTAATTTAAGTTAATTTGAGTTTTTATCAGAGGGATTTATTTAAATGGAAGGATATGATTGTAAATTTAAGAAGTTTCGTTGAATTTTATATTAATCAATAAATTACAATATATATATATATATATCTATCTAATGGTATTTATATCATTCGATATCGTAGATTAATCTATTATCGCGGTTAACGAAGTTCTCTACACATCTGAGTTAGTTATAGCTTGGGAAAGAGGTAACATTGGAATATCCTTTCATATATTGATATACCAGTTTTAGTATTGTGTGTGTGTGTGTATATATATATATATATTAATACTTATGTGACCTTATTGTGGAATGTGACATTTGTTTTATGTGATACAAAAGAGGTAATAAGGATGGCTAGTAATATAATTGTTTATTTAGGATTGATGATTGAATATTATGCCACATGTTTTGCCTCCACTACATGCGTAGTGGTTCGCCTTTTCTTGTAGTTCTCAATATCTTTGACATTTTGGGATGATAGGCACCTTCTTTTTAAGGAGGGGAGTCCTATTCTGACAGTAATGTACCTTTGACAGGATATAACCTCAGTTTAGGCTCCAGCTAATGGTAATAAGGGAGTTGGAAGCCATAAGGGTGAGGTTAGGAAATGTATCACTATTATTTTAATTTGACATTGATTTAGAAATTGTTATAAAATTGTGAATATTGCATTTCTTGTTTTATATATTGATTGTGAAATGTGTATATATATATATATTTATGGATATGTTTGCAAACTGATTTCAAAAAGTATGTTGGTATATGTTAGAATAACCAACTGTTACTGAGATTTTTAATCTCACATGTTACTTCTTATCATTTTTAGGTGAGCAGTCAAGTGGAGCTACAGGGAAGGCACCGAAGAAGTGAGCTTAAGCTCCGTTCTTTCGGCTTGACACGTGATTTTCTGTTTATTTTGTAATTATAATTATCATGACCTAGGGACCTTTATAATTTTATTTTGGATAATTGTTATAAGTTATTTGACCATAACTACTTAATCTTTTTATTTGAGCTGGATAACTTTTAAACACGTTAATTTGGACCATGGTTTTTTATTGGGCCAAGCCCATTTATTTTGGATCGTACATATTAATGGTATAAGAAAATGTGTGTTTAGCAGAGTTAATCACATCTATAAACTGTTGCTGAACTCTAGACTTGTAAATTTTTTATTGGGCCCCATCTGCTCTAAGTCCAATGGTAATTGTTAATCTTGATGTCGCTTTGTTTGGACAGGTATATTTTTTTAAAAAATGTTTATTTATAAAAATAAAGGGGGAAGGATTTTTTTTGTAAAAAAAAATTGACAAAAATAAGGTCTGTTACAGTCACACTTTATTACAGTAGTACTTTGACTAGGTGATTAGTTGATAAGGTGTGTGCAAGTGGTGGTGATGGGGAATGAGGAGGCAACGTCCGGGAATGGTGAAGGCGATTCTAGGGTTGATGCCTGAGTATTTCCACGTGTCAGTTTTGATCATGGCACAGAAGCATTCCGCTGAAACTTGTGACAGAGGCTCGCAGCATTTTGGAGACACAGGAACGGTCAAGTCTCTGGCTGGTTTGGAACAGTGACAAAGAACATGTGTGAGCATTCTATCTGGACTGAACTTGCCACACACGCCATAGCCGTCAGCTTCTGCCCCAGCAATGGCCACAATCACGAGAAGTAACACCAAGTGAACCAACTTCTTCATTCTCTCTGAGTTCTGCAGCTTGAACAAGGAAGCTATATGTTTATGTGATTGATTGTGTTTCACAGCTTCTGCTATATATATAGTCAGAAGCAGCACTTTGGAATGAACAAACCTTGTTCGATCCCGAAGTCCTAATCCTCTGGCTTTACAAGTTGGAATCTAAGTTTATTGATTTCCATGGAGAAACAAAGTTATTAAGCCCGCGGATTCTTTAATTTTGTCGTCAGAACGTTTTTAATTTAAGGCTCTCAGGGCTTACATAACATAATGGTTAGCACATGGAGAGTCAGTAACCTGGAGTTTCATAGGTATTGTAATGAAAACTGTATATCATCGACTTCTTTAATTTGGTCAATGGGTTCAGATAAACAAGGCACTTCTGAGTCTGCTTTTATCGAGTCAAATTTTTGGGCTCATGCATAGTACTTACAATATTTTTCTTCTCTATGAACGTACATCCAGTACATGCAACGCACTTAATCAAATTTTATATTAAAACTAGTTAAAATTAAGTATTGTTGCTTTTTACATATCTAATTAATTAACTACTCAAGCACAAGGACATACATGGTACGTGCTCATGTTTGAGCTGCCTGGCCATGATGACTTAGTCAAATTATTGAAAAAGGTGTTAATTAAGAATATGGTTGAAATATTCCAGAGACAATTAAAGAATGAGAACGCCAACGAATGAAATTGTATTCTCTGGCTATAGTCATCTGTCTCTCGTCTTGCATGACAAAAATATATATATTAAGTGTAAATTTTTAAGTAATTATATAATATACTCTAATAAAAATATAGTGTGTGCCTTAAATTATCATGTATCTCAACAAATTTCATAATTTATTTTGATCTATATTAACACAACTAAAAGATTCATACATTTTTTCCTTTCAATTTCGAAATGAATAGTTAAAATTTAACAAAATAAGATAGACCAGTGATATTGTTTCACCCTTAGACCTTACTTGAGAGATTGAGTCCCCCTTTCCTTAATTAATTCAGTCGCCACGGTTTAGCATATATAGATTATTCTTGTATACTAAGGTACCTTAGCTTAAATATGAAATTACTACTAAATAAATTGTTAAATCATGGGATATATTCAATATAGATTTTGAACTATTTATAAAAAATTATATAATGTCTATTTTTTAAAAAAATAATTCCTGCGATATCGAAAATTTTTATCATCCATCTTTGCTATTATAACGCTCATATTATACCTACTACCCGGATAACGCTCATATTATTCATACTTGTTTTTTATTTAAAAAAATGGGTAAGTAAATTTGATAAAGGAGGCCAATATTTAACTGGAGCTGTTGGTTATGTCAACTTTAATTTACATTTTCGTATATAATATTAGTGGACATCAAACATTCCTGCTATGAGTACGAGCTAATTTATCAAGTTGACATATGAAAACCCAACACATTTTTTAATAAAACTATTTTATTATAAAATTATATTTCAAACATTATCTAGCCTAATTAGAATTATCTCTTCTAATATGATTTTTTTTATCCTTAACAAAAATTAAAGTTGATCTTACAGGGAATTAAACCTTGTACTTAATTTAACCATCATTTAGTGTCGCAATAAGTCAACAACTCATTAATCTATACCTGGATCGGATTGGAACAAGTAACGCTTGCTAATTAATCTGCTAAATAATACCAAGTGGTTTATCATAATCAAGAGAAGAACGATTTACTTATAATACATATCTTTCAGATTAAAGGATAAACTAACAAACCATTCAAACTCAATGAATCCGCCACTCTTCACAGTTTGAACAATACACATATGCACTCGATTACAGTGGAACGTGTTTAACAATCTTATTGATAATTAAGGACACAGTCACGCTTTATTCTAGTACGTAGGTAGGTGATTATATTTCATATATAGATGTGTATATAAGTTCTCTCTAGGGGTGGTGTGGAATGAGGTGGCAACGTCTGGGAATGGTGAAGGCGATTCTAGGATTGATGCCTGAGTATTTCCACGTGTCAGATTTGATGATGGCATAGAAGCATTCCTCTGAAACTTGTGACAGAGGTTCGCAGCATTTTGGAGACACAGGAACAGTTAAGTCTCTGGCTGGTTTAGCACAGTGACGAAGGACATGTGTGAGCATTCTATCTGGACTGAACTTGCCACACACGCCATAGCCATCAGCTTCTGCCCCAGCAATGGCCACAATCATGAGAAGCAACACCAAGTAAACCACCTTCTTCATCCTCTTGGTTACTCTGGGCTTCCTTTGATTTCTTCAACTTGAACAAGGAAGCTATGTGTGTTAGTGTATGTGATTGATTGTGTTGCACAACTTCTGCTGTGTCTTGAACTGTCTACATATGTATATATATATATATATATAGTCAGCAGCAGCACTTTGGAATGAAAAAAACCTGGTTCTCAAAGTTTTAATCCTTATTTAAAAAAAAAAAAGTCTTAATCCTCTGGCTTTGTAAGTTGGAATACTATCAAGGTTTATTTATTTTCACACGGAGAAAGAAGCTAAGCCCGCGGATTAATTCTGCTGTTGCCGATATATATCACTATTAAAAATAGGAAAAATCACATTTAAGAATTATACAAAAAAATTATTTATAGATGAGGACTAACAACAAATTAAATTTTTATTTTAATAATAATTCATTTTATATTGATTCTTGTCTATAAATATTTCCATAAGTGATTCTTGGGTGTGATTCTCCCTTAAAATATCAAGACTTACAGAATAAGCACATGGATTTATACATACATACATACCTACATAGAGAGAGAGAGAGAGAGAGAGAGAGAGAGAGAGAGAGAGAGCGAGAGAGAGAGAGAGAGAGAGAGAGAGAGAGAGAGAGAGAGAGAGCCAGAAGCTTGAGTTTTGAATATATTATTCTGAATTGCTCCTAGTTATTATCATGGGAACTGTATGAGTTCATTATCTATTCCATCACCTACTCCTTCCTTCTTCAATGGGTTTAGCGATATTATTAAACAAATCACTTTTGGTCTGCTTTTGTACATTAAGTCAAATTTTTGGGCGCATGCTGGACTTTCAATATTTTTCCTTCATAAATAATGTACATCCAGAACATGCAACGTACTATGCCAAATTTTATATTAAAACCAAATAAAATTATGTGTTGTTACTTTTTACGTGTTTAACTATAAAAATGTGCTAGCACAAATATGACAAGTTAGCTTGTTAAAAAATTGATAAAAATTCAACACAAGAAAGATGGATAATAAGAAATGAGGTACAGTAGACACAAGCATGATCTATTGATAACTTAAGCGCCAGGACATGGTTGTGGATCATGCTTGTTAAGTTTTGTCTCAGTCAAGCCCAATAATAATCAGAAGCCCAACTCGTAAATATTAGAATGGGCCTTTGTTCTGTTTTTTCCTCTGTACATGGATATTTTGTATCCTGACCTAGGGTCTGTCTTGACTCCATATCTCAATCAAATTATTGGAATAAATGTTGAGAATGGGACTGAAATAATAAAAATCCAGAGAAAAGAAGGAGAACGCATACCGGTCACAAATGATGAGAAACGTATTCTGTATTCATATATCTATATGATTATATACAATATTCAATAATTTCTTGCCTCAATGTAATTCTAAATTGTCTTAAAACTTGGGGAATTGGACTTGTGAACCACATCTGCTTGTGGGAAGAATAGGACACTCAATGAAATCTGACCCAGAAGTGTCCGCGCACAGATAAACTTGATAAAGCTGACTCTTGTGTTTTGCATCCACATTGCACTCAATTCCTGGAGTGAACCCAACACCATTTTTTATAGCCTCTTTAATGCTCTCTAAACTGTAGAATCCATCGTCTGCTTTAATACCTGAAAATCCAATTCCTTTCAATATGCTTACAACCAGACTTTGCCATATTCATCATCATCTTTCTGCTGCTTGGAGTTTCAATAGAGAGATGAAGTTTTATTAGAATGTACCTGCGTTGTGGAGGATGTTCAGGAGGTTTGCTTTCTGCTTGAGTTTAAGAGCACTGTCAAAGTAGTCACGCTGATCAAGCTCAGATTCTGAGCAGGTCCCATGTTTTTGCCATTCGTGAGACCAAAACCTCAGGCCGTTGCTACTTGGACAGCTCAACGATGGCCAATGCTTTTCCATACTGCTCATCAGCTCTGCAATCTGTACGTAGCCAAACATTTTGATCACCACACCATATATATTAAGCCTTTTTCACATGGGAGTTCCATAATAATATAGGTTTTTTTAATCAGAAAAAAATTAGGTGAGTTGGACGGATATCGGGGCTCTTGGAGGTGCCTAGCTCTAGGCTTAAAAAGCACTCGCAAATATACTTACAAATCACTTATCAACAAGGTTCTCATTAGCTGTGGAATTTGATCCCACAACCTTATAGATTATGGGTCAAATCCCTATTGAAGGATCTTTACTGGCTGAGAAGAAATAGTTTATACATTACATTATTCACAATATATATGAAATAACAATACCTGAGATTTGTCGAAAACACTGTCAGGGTCACAGTTAGAGGGCCAAGAGCCATCCTTATAGTTGGGCCAGAGTCCATGAATGCCGAAATCTGCTGTAGGTTTTCCAGTCTTGGGGTAGCAACAGCCATGCTTTGTGTCACAGAATGCTCCTGGCCACTGCACCAGTGGGCACACGCACACATCATCAATCATCATCATCATATATCATTCACATACAATTCAAATTCAAAGTGAAACAGCTCAAATATTTTTACCTGCTGAACAAAGTAGAAGAAATCAAAATCCTGAGAGCAGCACAAAACTGATAGGCATTGTAGCACTATAAGCTTGGACAGTAAGGAAAAGTTGGGTTTCATATTCATGTGTCTCTGTGTGATTCGCGATGAGTTATTATTTGGCACTCTATATGTTTAAGTGAATGATCGACGAAGAACGATTTGGTTGAGTGCAAGGAGCTGGGCAAACTTAGAAGGTGCATATATATATATATATATAGGTCAATGGATCAGAATAAGCATACGAATCGTATGTCTTTCATCATCTCAATTATCATCATAATTTTCAAGAGCACTGAGTTTTGCGTCTGTTTCTCCAGTAACTTGTAGTGAAGGTTGGGACTTCCATCGATCCGTCAAAAGGAACAAATATCATTGATAAAGTTATACGAAAAGAATTAGTTAGGTAGCACGGTTGCGTTGTATGGGTGCAGAAGCAAAGTTTAAGAATGAAGACATGTAAGTGGTGACGTTGCTTGCGTGCAAGTCAAACGAATAAGTTTGAGGTTGAGAGTACTCTAGCTTGGCGTGATTAAGTGATCATAATATATGCCTTGAAGTGTGCCTGTGGACGGTGAATTTATTAAGCATTAATTAAAGAAGCATCTTATATGACGTTCTTTTTTTTTCCCCTGATGAATTATACATGAATACTCTGTCTGTATTCAGAAGCTACCACCAATAGGAAAATTGCGGGTTTTTCACATTATTATAAAAAATTAATCTTTTAAGTTATGACCACTTAAAATAATTGATTTCAAGCTCAATAATTTGTTTAGTGGAAAGTGGAAATTCATTAAAGAAAACTGTACAGATACAAGTGGCGAAGGCCAGCTACGTCAAAGACATAAAATTTCTGGCAACTTTAAGAGTATGGTCTACTAGAATTCTAGTATGCATAAGGAAGGAATCCACTTCAAAATGTTTGTCAGTAAAAATCCTTTGGTTCCTGACTTTCCATAACTTCCAGCAAATAATACCGATGCCCACTTTCCAAGAAGTACCAATTCTTTTAGAAAGAATTGTGTTAAGCAGCCATGTGTCAATCTTATCTTTACAGAATTCAGCATACATGTCTGTGGGTAGGATCTTCTTCCATACCGATGCTGCGAAGGAGCAATTCTTGAAAACATGATTGATGTCCTCTAATATGTCATCACAAACTGAGCAAAGACGATTTTCGGTCATCTTTATGAGAAGAAGCAGATTTGAGAGGAAAGATAATAAAAATTATTTGAATAGTACGATCTGATTATATTCTTATATGTGTACATCATCTATATTTAAAGTGTAAAATCCTCTTCTTAGCAGACTAACTGATCTGTTAAGGCTAACTAATCATAGCAACTAATATTGTTATAACAGACTGACTTACAACTGAACTTATATTCTAATATCCACCCTGTTACAGCAAGAAAAAGAAAACTGAAATTAATTGGAATCTTCATCAGACACAGGTGGAAACGAGAATTCTTCTAGGCCCATGACACTTAGACAATGCTTTAAGTAAGAAAATGGTGCTGAAGGAAGTGCTTTAGTAAAAATATCAGCAACTTGTTCAAAAGAGGGAACATAATTGACTGCAATGACACCACTAGCAACTTTTTCCCTGATAAAATGCAGATCCAGCTCTATGTGCTTTGATTTAGCATGTAAAACAGGATTAGCAGCAAGTGACACAGTACCAGAGTTGTCTACCCAGATTACAGGTGTACCTACTGTTGGGATCATCATTTCACTTAATAGAGACTTGAGCCATATTATATCAACAATTGCATCAGCCAAACTACGATACTCGGCTTCAGTTGACCCTCTGGAAACCACTGCCTACTTCTTAGAATACCACGTAATTGGGTTAGAACCAAGAAAAGTGCAAAAACCACTAGTTTATCTACCATCTCCTCTATCACCTCCCCAATCAGCATCTGCAAAAGCTTGAACTGAAAATTGAACAGCAGGTTTGATTAGCAAACCATGAGCCACAGTGCCACAAAGATAACACAGTAGACGTTTAACATAATCCCAATGTTTTATAAGTGGAAGCTGCATGAACTGACTGAGTTTATTTACAGCAAAAGATACTTCAGGTCTAGTGTAACAAACATACTGTAAAGACCCAACAATGCTTCTATATAGTTTAGGGTCATGAAAAGGCTTGTTTTGCTCTTTTTCTTTATCCGATTTCTTAACAATATCATCTGAAAATGGATTTTCTGATAATTGAATTCCAAAAACCATAGGAGTGGGTGATGAATTAGCATAAATCATAGAGGTACGTTCAAGCAACTGAAGAATATACTTCTTCTGAGTTAATAAAAGACCATGAGGAAGATATTTGAACTCAATCCCAAGAAAAAAGGACAAATCACCAAGATCTTTTAGAGAAAACAACTTGCTCATCTAATGAATAAGACCTATAATTTCAACTTCATCACTTCCTGTCATAATAAGGTCATCTATATGGACTGCCACATAAGCAACACTATGAGCACTCTTTTTCACAAACAGATAGGAATCTGCTTTTGTATTAATAAATCCCAAACTATAAAGTGAATCCTTGAGCTTATAGAACCAAGCCCTCGGTGCTTGCTTTAGTTCATAAAGTGACTTTACAAGCTTACAAACTAATGGAGTACTACTGTCAGAAGATGATATTTCAAAACCAGGAGGCTGCTGCATGTAAACATCTTCAGTCAAATCACCATTAAGAAATGCATTATTGAAGTCTACCTGATGTAGTTTCCATTTATGAGTAACAGCTAATGTAAGAAGTGCTCTAACAGATGTAGGTCGAACCACAGGGCTAAAAGTATCTCCATAATCTGGACCAGCTTCTTGAGAGAATCCTTGAGCAACTAAACGTGCTTTGTATTGAGCAATAGAGCCATCTGCATGAGTTTTTACTTTGAATAGCCATTTGCAACCAATTGGCTTTCGATCTGGAGGAAGAGGAACAAGCTTCCATGTATTAAAACTTATCAACACATCATATTCCTTTTTAACAGCAGTGGCCCAATGAGGTTGACTAAGAGCTTCAGTTACATCATGAGGAAAACAATCTTTCGGAATAGTAGCTAAGAATACTCTTGGTTTGAAAACTCCAGCTTTTACTCTTGTAATCATACGATGAGTATTGGTTGAAGTAGGAAGTGGCGCTGAGGAAATACCTGAAGTTAAATCTATATCAATAATAGGTGACTCTGTAAATGACTTAGATGTAGAATCAGAATTAGAAATAGGCATAAGAGACTTATTAAAAAAAGAATCAATAGGAGGAGGAGCTGTAACAGGAGATGGTGAAGAACTAGTAGATGAATCAAACGAGGATCGAGTAGAGCCATAAACATCAAGATTTTTATTCTTAACAGCAAAGAATACTTTCCTAGGAAAAATAGCTTCATTAAATCTGACATGCCTTGAGATATATACCCTTCAAGTAGTCACATCTAAACACTTGTACCCTTTGTGTTGAATACTATACCCTAAAAAAAATGCAAGGGATAGAATGAAAAGCAAGTTTATGATTGTTGTAAGGCCTAATACATGGAAAACACTCACACCCAAAAACTCTTAGCAATGAGTAATCTGGCTGTATATTATATAATTTGTGAAAGGGAGTATCACCCTAAAGTGCAGTAGTGGGTAATCGGTTGATTAAGAAAACTGCAGTAATAAATGCATCAAACCAGTAGTAAAATGGCAATGAAGAATGAGCAAGCAATGATAGACCAACTTCAACAACTTGTCTATGCTTTCTCTCTATTAATCCATTTTGTTCAGATGTATAAGGACAAGTGAATCTATGGGAGATTCCAAAAGCAGCGAGAAAAGACTTAAACACTATAAATTCTCCACCAGAATCAGTTTACAGTATTTTGATTTTAGTCTCAAATCGATTTTCAACCTTAGTCTTGAATACTTTGAATACTTGTAACGCATCAGATTTCTTTTGAAGTGGATATGTCCAAAGAAAACGACTATAAGCATCAAGAAAAGTGATGTAATATCGAAAACCATTAGACAATTCAGATGCAGGACCCCATAGATCAGTAACAATAAGCTTTAATGGTTTAGTATAGGTAGTAAGGGAGTCTGAAAATGGTAGTTTATGACTTTTGCCTGATTAACATGCTGAGCAAACATCAGAAGATTGCTTAAAAGAAATAGAAATATCATTCTTATTCAGAATTTACTTCACTACAGTATTGGATGAATGTCCAAGTCGATAATGCCAAAGCATGGCTACATCATCATGAAGCAAAATATGAAAACATTGCTTAAAATGTGACTCCATTAAGGAATCTTTATGTAATGCACTTTGGCATCCTGATTCATTTAGCTTGTACATGCCAACAGTTTCATGACCATGCGTTAGGAGCTTTCTTGTCTGCATGTCCCTAACAAAGCAACCATGAGGCCAAAATTCTACAAAAACCCTATTATCCTTAGAAAGCTGAGAAACAGATATCAAATTTTTAACCATAGCTGGAACATGGAGTATTCTGGGCATTTGTAATATAGATTGAGAAGTAGAAAGACAAGATTTACCAACCGCAGAAACAGTCAACATATTTCCATTACCTACTGCAACAGGTCCAGTGGTATGAGAATTGTCAACTTCTTGAATTTTAGATACATCTCTAGCAATGTGTTGAGTAGCCCTTGAATCTAGATACCATGCATTATCAACAGGAGATACAGCATGAACATTAGCAGTGTGACTCTGTTACGACGAAGCTGAACAACTAGAGACAGAAGGATCTAGACTAGTAGGAGTAGAACTCATATATTCAGAGTAGTCAGGATAATAGAAAGAGTAATAAACTTTAGAGGCAAGCAGAGTAGAGAAATCATAGTTAGTATTATATGTGTCAGACGTAAGATGAGCTTGAGAGACAGAGGAAGAAGAACCATGAGGTGCATAATTGTAATCAAACCTGAAATAACACCTCCCTGCTGTATGTCTAACTTTATAGCAAATCTGACAGATAGGAGTGTGAGACAGAGGAAATCGACCACGTCCATGACCTCCTCCTCTAATGAACATAGGCCTCGGTGGACGATCTCCAGCACTACCACTTGAAACTGGAGTGGAATTTGCTAATTATGGAGGAGATACTTCTTGAGCTTGAAAAATTAAAGGAGCGGATGAACGCATCTAAGGTACTAAGGTAGCAAAATTGACTTGAGGAGCATGTTGAAAATACATTTTTCGCCTTGCTTCAGAGTCAAGAAGCATCGTGCTCACAGTGCTGATGTCATATTGTCCTTTTGACGCATTAATCACAGTAATAACTGGCTCATATTCAGGAGTCAAGCCATTCAACATATAAGAAATTTGAGATGAATCTGGTACACGTTGGCCTAAAACTGCCAAATTATTGCAAATAGACTTGATATTGATGAGGTACTCTTTTATGGAAAGATCACCTTTTCGCTGATTACTGAGAAGGTTTTGATAATGAAGAATCTTAGACTCTGACTTGGCAGAGCAAAGATCACAAAGACGATGCCATATTTGTGCAACAGTATCAAATCCGACTAAATCTGGGAGAATAGAGTGACTCACAGTGGAAAGAAGCCAGGAAGCTAACGCTGTATCATGTTACTCATAGGTCTCAAAATCAGGATTCACGACTGTTTGTCCTTCAACATCACGAATAGTTGCAGGTGGAATAGTAGCAGTTCCTTTCAAAACCGAGTGTAGTCTATGTTGTTTAACCATAAGGGAAACCTGTTGTTTCTAAATAAGAATCAGAATCATCAAGAACAACATTTATTTTCTTATTGGAGAACGACTTTGTAACAATCGGAGCTTGTGAAACGGCAAGAACAAGGATTTCAGCCATTGATTAGTCAAGCTAGAGCAAAGAGAAAACAAAAGAAAAGAAGTGGAAAAAATGAACAGGTTTGGAGTCACCAGATCGGTGGCTCTGATACCATATGAGAAGAAGTAGATTTGAGAGGAAAGAGAATAAGAATTATTTGAATAGTATGATCTGATTATATTTTTGTATGTGTACATCATCTATATTTAAAGTGTAAAATCCTCTTCTTAGCAGACTAACTGATCTGTTAAGGCTAACTAATCATAGCAACTAATATTGTTATAACAGACTGACTTACAACTAAACTTATATTCTAATAATCTTCCTCCGATGGCGTTCAGCATTCGTGAGTAGTTTGCCTTTAAGTAATAACCAAATAAAGGTCCTAACACGTTGAGCAACTGGAAGTCTTCATACCTTATTCCATCTTGTATCTTCATCATTCCAGTTAGCAAATTGAAAGGCTTGATATGCAGATTTGATCGTGAAAATCCCATCAGAGTTAAGGTGTTAGAAGCAAGAGGGACCTAATTCAGTGGAGGACATATTCGTAGCACTTAATAATTTCAAACTGATATAGGAATACTAGATATCATATGTTTTTATTAAAAAAAATTATCTTAAATAGAAAAAGAAAAATCTTGGTCTTCAAAATTTGTGCTTTGATCCTTTTGTTTTAATTGGTATTAAATTGGCCCAAATGATTTTCAACCGTCGAATAAATGATCATTTTTAAATGTTGTAGATAATCATGGAACAAAGTTTTACACAGGATACAATGTTTTTTGGTTGATTATATTTATTAGATGTTTTTGTTGGCAGAAAAAAAAGATTTATTGGATGTTTTGAAATCATTTATTTGATGATTACTTGAGATTCAAGGCATTAGGATGATGTATTTAACATTTTGAAGCCATGAATAGTAATTGGTGAATCAATTAAGTATTGAGGACTAAAAATCTAGTATGTGTTTGGTTAACGAGCTTTTCATATTTGCAAAGTACTTTTGGAGATTTTCAAATGTCAAAGTTATTTGGTTTTTTTTTTAAAAAAAAAATTCAAAGTCCATTGAAAATGATATGAAATATACTTTTGAAACTTATACTTACTTCCCAGTATCCGTTTTTCAGTTTGAAAGTGAACCAAAATTGCTCAGACCATAATACCCTTTTAGTTTAATTTTCTTTCCATAAACTTGTATATTTTGAAGTCTGAACAGAATTATTCAATGATATATTCCTTGATGACGTGGAGAAGGTCAAGTAAAATTACATATCTGATAAGTGCACACATATCAAAAGCAACTTTGGAAGAGGAAATTACATACTTATAAGATATATAATTATATATATCCTATAAAGGGCTGTTATAGAATGAAGCCCAATTCATCAGACATGGAAAAGAGAGATAAAAATCGTAAGAGTTCCTTAGTGATCAGTCATCCATTTTCTCACAATATAACTTCCTTTAATACAGAAGCAAACCTTCTTTGGGAGAAAAGAAAAGGAAATAAGAATCAGAAAGAAGGAAAGTGAATATGAGATAGACACTTGGAGGCAGGGAAGACAGTGCAGTCAATGAAGTTAGAGGCAGAAGTGTCAACACACAAATAAACTTGATAAAGCTGACTGTTTCCAGAAGAGTCCTGATTGCACTCTATGAAAGGAGCGAAACCAGTTGATTCCTTTATGGCATCTTTAATGTTGCTTAAGCTGTAAGACCCTCCATCTGCTTCTATTCCTACATATAAATCAATCCACGTTTTGTCCTCAGAGATTGATTATTTCTGTGTGGTTTTTCAGTTTCAGTTTTGAGAATGTACCAGCATTGGAGAGAGCCTGGAGGACGTTGGCATGTTGCTTGAGGTTGAGAGCTGAAGCAAAGTAGTCGTGTTGGTGAAGGAGAGACTCAGAGCAGGTGCCATGTTTGTCCCATTCATGTGTCCAGAATTGTATTCCGTTACCACTTGGGCATGCCAGTGTTGCCCAATTCCTCTCTAAACTGCTTATCAGATCTGATACCTGCCCTCCAATACATGAAATTCAATCATCTTAATCATAATTAGGAATTGTTAATGTAAGTTTTGATCGAATCCTTGTATTTTTTTAATTATTCTAGAATAATCATATATTTATCAGAATAGCTCTTTTATATTTGTATACATACTCTTCTATTCCGGAATCTGGATGAATGAACATTGTACATTTCTTGTTGTATCCTCTACTGCTTTTCTATAGTCTAGTCTTCGAGTATACTCGTTCAAATCAATATTCCATATCATATCATATATGAAAAAAAAATGAATTGGTAGTGTTGTTTTGTTTTACTGTCATATATGGACGTGACACTTTTCTTTTGATATTTTTGCCTGATATATTCCTTAAGTTGTCATTTCTTGATTACTTAATTCTCCTGCGTGACCCGGTGAATACGCTAATTAGGACCCAAAGAATATCAACCAAAAATAACATTGAACTGAGTCAAGTATTTGACGGAAGAGTTTATGGGGCAAGCTGATTTTTAATAACTTAAAAGGAGCTCTAATGGACAATAAGCGTACTAGCCATCATAATCCTTCTCCCTTGGCGTTTTAGGCTTTTTAAAACTGTTTTAATTTTTTTATTTGATTAAGTTATATAAATTTTTCTCTAAATTTTGATGATTAGAATATTTTATTTATTTTTAACACAATGCACGTATTTCAGGAATCATGTTAGAATTACATATTTTTTATTTAAAAAATTACACAAATCTTACACTAAAAAATATTTTATTATATAAATTTTAAAAAATAAAAAAATACTAGAGTCTATTCAATTTTGACAAACTCTCACATAAGATATATGTATGTATGTATGTATGTATGTATATAATTTATTTGATTTACTCTTTTTTCAGTGAAAATATCCATACAGATTGAAAAATAAAACAATTGTATTATTCTAATTAAACTAACTATTTTATTTTTTATTTGAAAAATTAATATCAATAGCAATGCCAAATGTAAAATTAATTAATAAGAATGTTATATAATCCACCATCACTAGACAAGACAAGCCATAACAGAACATGGAAATGGGTTTCTGTTCTGATTTCCAGAACGCATCCTCTTCCTCAATCTTTAATTAGCCAAGCAGGTTAAAGAAACGTTCCAGTTTCTTCTATAACCCAGGATTAATTAAAGAAGCTAATCAAAATCTAAAATTGGGGTATACGATTACATACCTCAGATTGGTTAAAAGGGTTATTAGGATCACAATTTGATGGGTATGAGCCATCGTTGTAATTAGGCCAGAGTCCATGAATGCCAAAATCTACTTCAGGCTTCCCACTTGTTGGGTAACAACAACTTCGCTGCGTGTCACAGTATGATCCTGGCCACTGAACCCAAAACAAACACGTTTTTGTAATCCCCAAACATGACCTTTGATTGACACATTATATTACAAAACACACGCACGCACGCACACACTGACCTGAAGAACAAAGTAGAAGAAATCGAAGTCCTGAGAAACAGAGAGATCTGACAGATATTGCAGTAACAGCAGAAGTTGGATCGAGATGGACACTTTAGACTTCATATTGATGATCTCTATTCTATGGAGTGTTGGAGAAGGTGATGGATTGATAGACCTATTTATAGAAAGATAAAATAGGAAGGTGGGATGTTAGAGACAGAGTATCAGAGATGGAATATGCGTGTGAAATGAAACCCCTTCATGATACACTAGTGTCACACGTCGTCTATTTTATTTTTATTTTATTCTATTTATCATTATTATTAATTATAATAAATCCAACGAGGTTGAGTTAGTAAATAGCATATAATATAATGGGGTTGGGCGAGTTTTTTTTTTCTTTTTCCTTTTTACCTTAAAGTAGCTTGAAAATCAAGTATCAAAATCTTTGTTTATAAAGTAATCCCTCCAGTTAAAAATATAAATATTTCCTCTCAATTAATCTTGATTTAAAATATAAATAATCTAGTACATATAAAAAATATTTTCCACATTTTACCCTTTGTATTTTTTAATTTAAATATTTGTGTAAATGTATCTTCCACTTATACGTTGGAACTTAGGACTAAGGGTAAAAAAATAATAATATATATTTTTATAAGAATAAAAATTTTATTCATATGCAAATTTTTTTAAAAAAAATTACTTATATTTTCAACCAGTACGTTTGTTTAAACAAGTAGCCAAGAGCAGCTCAAAGGAGCAGGCAGCTTTGTTCACATGGAAACACGTAATTGTTTGTTTAATTTTTATTGTTAATTAATTGATTATGACCAATCATATTGGGTTGCTTACAATTTCATGCAATCTGAAGATGCATTCACATAACATGCCAAAAGCAAATTTGGGAGTTAAATTTATATTTCCAAAAGTTCCAATACTATCAACTAATTAATCTTAGCTAACTTAGCTTCTTTAAACTTGATAATTAATTAAAGGGAGAATTTAATTTAGGATCAGAAATGTGACATTATTTGAAATCAAACCCAACGAATTCTAAAAATTCACTTAAGGGCCAAGGCACTAAATTGAAAATAAATTTTGAAAAGAAGTGACCACGACGTCCTTTGAATATTATTATTTTTTAAAAAAATTCATCTCACTAGAACTTGGTTTATTGCACCACCCCAATGGCAGTTGTTAGAGTTCCGGAGCTCTGACCATTAAAAATCAATACCCAAAGATGACCATCATCAGATTTCAATTCATGTTTCACTGATTCAGCATCCTGATGAATAGATAGAATTTCCTTTGTGAAAGAACTATTGGCATTATCAAATTCCAATTCATGTTTCACTGTTTCACAAGTTTGTTTCATGCTTCAAGTGTGTCGCTCTATATCCTTGCCCAAAAAATCTATGTGAAACAGAACTAGGACAGACTCAGAGCAGGTGCCATGTTTGCCCCATTCATGTGCCCATATTTTTGTTTCATTCCCACTTGGGCACGCCAGTGTTGGCCAATTCCTCTCTAAATTGCTCATCAGATCTGATACCTGCCATCCAATTACGTATATTAAACAAATGAATTCATGGTATGAAATCTGTGTCAATCTGACCTGTCCAACCCAAGGTTAGTTTAATGAAATGCTTTCTTCATAACCAGTCTGATGATCACTGTTTGACTTTGGTTTTGATAACTCTTCAATGAATATTTTGACCAGAACTCCAGTTTTTCAGTATCTTTGATTGCTAGTGTTGTTTTACTGACCCTTTCTTTCTCCCTTCTGACTCATACATTCCTTGACTTTCCATTTGTTGATTTATTAATTCTCGTGCGTGACCCGGTTAAGAAGCCAATTAGAACTCGAAGAATATCAGCTAAAAACATTGAACTCAGTCTCGAGTATTTGGCAGAAGAGTTTACGGGGCAAGCTTCCTTTCTAATTACTTGAAAAGAAGCTCCAATGGGTAATGAATGTAAATAGTTATATAATCCTTCAGCTTTGGCCTTATAGCCGCTTTAAAACTGTTTTAATTTTTTAAAATGAAGATTAAGATTATATTAAATAAATTTAAAAAACATAAAATACTAAAATCTATGCTGCTTTGATATATATATATATATATATATATTCACTCCATTAAAAAAATATAAGACATTTTTAATATTTAAGGGCATAATTAATATATTTTTTCAATTGCTCTTAATAAATGAATCATTTTATATTTATATTTAAGTAAAAATATTTTATTAAATATGGGTAGATATAAAAAGACAGTTAATTAATTTATTAAGAATGAGATATGATTAAAAATACCTTATATTTTTTTAAGGGGGAGTGTATATAATTTACTTTATTTAATATTTGTTTCAATGAAGTACCCATACATTTTGCAAATAAAATATTTGTACTATTCTAATTAAACTAAAAAATTAAATTTTTATTTAGAAAATTAATATCAATGTATCAATGTCAAATACAAAATTAAGATTTATAAGAAACCATGCTATTTAAGTTAGTATACTCTTTATCAATTACAAAGCCAAGCGATAGGAAAGTGAGATTCTAAGTTGGAACATCATGAATAATAATACAAAATTACAAACACACACCCCTATCTTGGACCACCCTAATTAATGAAAAATAAAAATAACAGGTGTTAGCTTTTATGATCACTTAAATACAAGATATTCAGTTCAAAATTATATAAATAAAGAAAATATTTTTAAAAGAGTTACTTTTACTTGAACATGACAATAATGTTTGAATCTAAATCTTATAATCATGTGAAAAAAAAATCCTGACTTAGCTTCTCAAATGGATCAAGTACTATTTTATATAATTGGCCATCACAAGACAAGACCAGCAACACAACATGGAAATAGGTTATAATGATTTCTAGAACCTATCTCTTTCCTCAATCTCTAGTCAAATGAAGTAAAATTCATCAGTTAGACCGAGACTTTGCAGGTTTTACCATTACCTAGGAATAAAAAAGCAAATCAAAGCCGAAATTGGGGTATGATTATATTGTTGAAATGGGGGTATGAGCCATTGTTGAAATTAGGCCAGAGACCATGAATGCCAAAATCTGTTTTAGCCTTTTAGGCTTCCCACTTGTTGGGTAACAACTTTTTTTTCGCGTGTCACACAACGATCCCGGCCATTGAAAACCACAAAGGCCCCAAAACAAACATGTTTTTGTAAAACCCAAACATAACCTTTCATTGACACATTAGATTAATTACAAAACACAAATATACACTGACCTGACCTGAAGTAGAAGAAATCAAAGTCCTGAGAAACAAAGAGAACTGACATTATTGCAATAGCAGTAGAAGTTGGATCAAGATTAACACTTTAGACTTCATATTGATGATCTCTCTTTTATATATGGAGTGTTGAAGAAGGTGATGGATTGATAAATCTACTTATAGATAGATAAAATAGGAAGGTGAGAATGCAGAGACAATTTGGATTTGCATATGTTCCATGTGAATGGAACAGAATATTGTAATCATGAGCAGCAGATGTGAAAGTGAATTATTAATTATTATTTTATTAATTATAATAAATCCAATGTGGTTGGGTCGTGACCAAAAAAAAAAAATTCCAATGCGGTTGGGATAGTAAGTAGCATAATATAATGGGCTTGGGCTTGTTTGTCATCTGTGAGTTTTTTACTTTTTCCCGTGTGGTTTCATATGTGATAGTGTGGCAAGAGTGTTCACGTGAAAATATGGTATTGTTTGTTCAAGGGTTAAAATCTATCTTTATCCTTAAAATATTTAGGAAGGAACACTCAATAACTTGTGTTTGTAATGTAATAAGGTATTGGTTTAAAGATTCAGAGGGAATATAATGTAATGAAATGCTAAGGAATGGAATGTAATGTAATAAGGATTACATGTGTTTGTTTGGTATGTTATATGAGGAAGGATATTTTGATATAAAATGTGATTGTAATGGGGATTATATAGGTTTATTGATGTAACCTTCTTTACAGTGTATGATGTAATCCCCTTTACATTACCTGGTGCCAACCAAACAGCTGAAATCATGTAATGCATCAAGATTACAGGTAATCCCCTTGCACTGCATCAAACTAAAGAGGCTATAAGTCTCATTTGGTTTGCCAGCAACATTTTGAAGGAATGGAACTGAAAAAGGAATTGAAATGGGATATACAATGAAAATGAAATTTTAGTTTAAAAGTTTTGTTTGGTATGACTAAAAATTTAAATAGAATTTCTATGTAAATCTTGTTTTGTATGGCAGAATTGAACGTGGAAAAAGAAACTTGAATGTATTAAAAGACAATAATACCCATTAAAATAATAAACAAATAAAATAATTTTATAAATAAATATTAGCAAATATCAATTTGTTAATACGTGTACATGTCCAAAGACAATAATAAACTAATATATTAATGTTATTTTTTGTTGGAAAATAAATTGATATTATTAATAAATATTTATTAATATTTTTTATATTTAATTAAAAAAAGAACGTACATGATGTGCAAGTAACTATGCTGTACGCCTATCCATATTTCATAATTAAATAAATGCTAATTTATTTATATAGTTTCATGCTAGTTAATAACCAGAAAGACTCTTGAAAAAAATATTAACTATACCTATTTATTCAAGAGACTTCATTTAGCACCAAATATGTCACTTGCTAGCAATCCCAAAAATTTGATAATTTCAAAATTGAATAAACTACTTGTTAGCAACCCAAAAAATATCATCTACTTGACAAAAGACTTGATAGCAACCAAAAACCATTATCTACTTTCAATCCACCTAATGCAATAAATCACAAATCATTTTTAGTTTTTCTTCATTCCACAAGATTCCAAAAGCAACCAACAAAGCATCATCTGCAAGTATCTTTCGATATGCTACACATCTTTCTTGTGAAGTTATGCCTTCAAACTTAACCGTCTCAAAAAATAGAGAGACTCTTTGCACATCTAAACTTGCTTCACAAGTTATCTTTTCTATCATAGCTTGAATGTGACTACTCATAGTGATAACCATCTCCTTCAATGCATCAACAACAAACTCATCCCTATTGCAACTATTCCTTCTCCTCTTCTTTAAGCTTGATGCCTCATTTGTATGGTTATGTGACTAATTTGCCACTTGTTTAGTTACTTGTTCAATTAGGTTGGTGTTTAATCCAACTTCTCATTCC